GACACAAGTAAGTTGACCAGGAGTCACCGTTGACAGCATGCTCACCAAGTCTGACAAGGAGCGAAACGTCCTGATCTACGATCTTGGTGGTGGAACTTTCGATGTTTCCCTCCTTCACATCCAGGGCGGTGTCTTCACTGTCAAGGCTACTGCTGGTGACACCCACTTGGGAGGTAAGTAATACGAAGGTCATGTCCTTACTTTGTCGTGGACCTTCTGCTAACGCTTCGGTCCTCCGTTTTCAGGTCAGGATTTCGACACCAACTTGCTTGACCACTTCAAGAAAGAATTCCAGCGAAAGACTAAGGCAAGTTCAAAGCACATGAAACGTGTATCCGCAAATTACAAAACTAATTCCAAACAGAAGGACATCTCCAACGACCCACGTGCCCTCCGTCGTCTGCGAACTGCCTGCGAGCGTGCCAAGCGTACTCTTTCCAACGGAACTCAGACCACCGTCGAGATCGACTCGCTCTTCGACGGCGAAGACTTCAACGCCAACATCACCCGCGCGCGATTCGAAGACATCAACAGCAAGGCTTTCAACGGCACTCTCCAGCCAGTCGAGCAGGTCCTGAAGGATGCAGCTATCGAGAAGAGCAAGGTTGACGAGATCGTGCTTGTCGGTGGTTCTACCCGTATCCCAAAGATCCAGAAGCTCCTCAGCGACTTCTTCAACGGCAAGAAGCTCGAGAAGAGCATCAACCCAGACGAGGCTGTCGCCTACGGTGCCGCCGTCCAGGCTGGTATTCTTTCCGGCAAGGCCACCTCTGCCGACACCGCCGACATGCTTCTGTTGGATGTCGTCCCACTTTCTCTCGGTGTTGCTATGGAGGGCAACATCTTCGCTCCAGTTGTCCCACGTGGACAGACCGTACCAACAATTAAGAAACGGCGAGTATCCCCCTTTCTCTTATCTCTTTTGTTTGCATATTCTACCTGGATATACCGCTTGACCGTGGATCTTCGGGATACTGGATAGCATAGCCGCCATTAAAGATGGCCCACGAGGCTACGCTTCGGTCTCAGGACTGCGATGAGTAGCACTCTCAGCACTCGCATTATGCGATGCCTGCCGGCGATTGAGCCAGGCTCAAGTTTGGACAGTGTCGAAACTCGCTGGCTTCCATGAGTCGCTCCGCTGCATCACTACCTCTGGAGCACACCCGGCTCATTTCACATCTGCATCCTGTTGGAGCGATCTACAATGGCATCTGCCGCTGGCTACAGCATCACGATCTGGACCTGGCTTATTTCCTTCTTCGACCTTCCTTACATCTTCATCATGTTAACGACAAAGCGACATTTACTGACGAGAGATCTTCATGACTACAGCACCTTCACTACCGTCGCCGACAAGTAAGTTTGAAAGTACATCTTTGCTGTCATGACACACGCTGACAATCCTCAAGCCAACAAACAGTCCAGTTCCCAGTGTTCGTCCCAAGCCCAATCCTTCATTCTCCAACGTCCACTGACCCCTTCTAGCTTTCAAGGCGAGAGAGTCAATTGCGAGGATAACACCTCTCTTGGTGCGTTGTATTCATTTCCAAAAAAAAATCAGAACGTTTGCTGACCATCATTGCGCATTTAGGAGAGTTCACCCGTAAGCATTCCTTGAGTCAAAAGATTGCTTCATCTGCTAACCATATGCTTTTGAAAAGTCTCACCCATTCCTCCCATGTAATCAAACTCCATCCACATCACCGCCGTTTGCTAACACTCTTTCCAGGCGCGCCGGCGAGGCCGTCCTCGAAGTCGTTTTCGAAGTCGATGTCAACGGTATCCTCAAGGTGACCGCCACCGAGAAGTCTTCCGGCCGCAGCGCCAACATCACCATCTCCAACTCCGTCGGCAAGCTCGGCGCCGCTGAGATCGAGAAGATGGTTGAGGATGCCGCCAAGTTCAAGACCAGCGACGAGGCTTTCAGCAAGAAGTTCGAGTCCCGACAGCAGCTGGAGAGCTACATCAGCAGAGTCGAGGAGATTGTGTCCGACCCAACGATGAGCATGAAGCTCAAGCGCGGACAGAAGGAGAAGATTGAGGGTGCTCTCTCTGAGGCCATGGCCCAGCTCGAGGTTGAGGATGCCAGCAGCGACGACCTCAAGAAGAAGGAGCTTGCCCTCAAGCGCGTTGTCACCAAGGCCATGTCCACCCGATAAGCGGTCTGCATGTTCTTCTGGGTTTGCTTCATTTCACGGCGTTCATGCGTGCAGGGAGACCAAAAGGCATCTTGGACAGCGAGTCCGATGTGCCCTAACCCCTCTCAGGTGTCTTCTTTCACGCGTAGTATAGAGCAATAGCAATGACGGAATGGCCACAGTTCACAAAAGCGAGATTGATGTATGATCATGACGGGTCACGATGTCGACTTGGCGGATGCGTTGCTCCGTACGTAGCTTATGAAATCTGGTGCGCATTGGTAGTCCTTTACAGATCACGTTTATATTGCGCTACTGAGGAAAGAAAGAGAGCGAAGTGGAAATGTTCTGACGTGACGAGTCGCAGGAATGTGCGGTTTGCTGGAGCGCAAGCATGAGCGTTGCCAAGAATCCCCAATTGATATAATACATCGGTCACAATCACACGACGACAGCTAAATGATTGGCCCAAGATAGCCGATACATGGCAGTCGACAATGCTGCGGCCACCACACGTTGCCGCCACCACTCACTCCTCTGGCGACTCGAATGCAGTTGACACACCAATCTGCTACTTTCTGGACGCCCTGCCAAGAGAGCTTCGGGAAATGGTTTACAGCTACCTAGGAGCAGACTTTACAGCTGTCAAACCTACGCCAATTTGCGATTCGACTAGTCGACTGAAGGATGGCCCTCGACTTGCTGTGCTGCTCGTCAACAAGCAAGTCCGCGCAGAGTACTGGAAGATGTGCAAGGAGATGACTCAAATCGTGGTGGTGGATGCGTACGCGGCTGGCAATATCACTTGTCCTGAAATTCATCCCACAATGGCCTTATTTCTTGTCGTGTGTGACTATTGCCTTGAGGACGGCCACACCTGGAGCCGCTGCCGCTTGGAGAGTCGCTTCTGGGAACGCGTGGCTTGGCTGCATAAATTCAAGGCAGAGATGTCTCACATGGCCGAAATCTCCGTTGAGATACATTTTCCATGGCCATGCTTTCCTCTCAGATCTGATACGGTGGACCCCACGATATGGCCGGATTCTCCATATCACTTCGATCTTGCTAGAGTGCTGGAGTCTTTTACTGAAGTTCCAAAAGTCTCCAAGATCATGGCTATCGGGCTTACTCGTTTCGAGATGGGGAAGGGTTTGGGCAGAATCGCAGCTGATGAGCTCGAGATGGATGATCGTCACGACTACGCTTGGTGGACGACAGAAGGTGGCTGAGATGATCTCGGTCCAGAGTAGGTGCAAAATCTGTGTGCGAGGAGGAGAAATCTTGCAGACCTTGAGGGATTTGAGTATCGATCCGAAAGGACGGATTCTGAAGGCGAAGAGTCAGAAGAAGAGAATAGGGAGCAGAGCGAAGAGTGCCCAGTCCCATGCTGAGGAGTATACCGAAACGCGCAAGTAGTCGATTATGGAGCAGCATTATCACCGAGCGACTTCATCTACACGTTCATCAGCCTCAACCAATCAATCTAGCAGTCACTTAAAACCTCCCATCTCCCTCCCTCCCTCCCTCATCCCCACGCCCTTCCTCCCATTCAATTCACAGCGCAACCCCCCTCCCCCTCCCCCCAAAGCGAGCGCCACCCAAACCCCTCCCCCTCGTCCCAAAAGCAAGCGCCACCCACCCGGCAATAAAAGAAACTCCCCCCATCGGCGTCGCCGGTCCCAAAACCTTCCCAAACCTCTCTCCATCCAAAACCAATCCATAAATCGACCCTATATCCCAAACAACAATCAAAAACTTTCCTTGATAGAGTGTGTGTGTCTGTGTGTGTGTGTGTTATGACTGACCACAAAACATAAAAATCCCCGCCGTAAAGAATCCTTTAGCCCAGATATTTTTCGGGCATACTTGGTGTGTGAAGAGGAGGGCGAGGCTGTGGAGCAACTATGTCGAGCAGCCGAACGTCAGCGAATGGACCTTTCTACAACGTTCAACCCTTCGGAGTGATGAAAGTGAACAGCCACTACTTCCTTTCCTCGAGTTTAGCCTCACAAGCTGGCGTGTCAAACTCCTGCCTGGACGCCGCCCGCTGAAGTTCGCCACTCGCCCCTCGCTTCGCTCGTGCCTCGGATACGTACCTGATAATGCGCCGCCGTCTGAAACGAAGCGATTTTCTGGGGTGCGATGCCTCGTTTTTGGAGGCGGTGGGCACCGAAAGCTCCCATGCCGATTGAGGTTGCGGCTGAGAGGGTGCCGAGGAGCCAGATGGGCTGCGGATAGGATTAGTTAGGAGAGGATGGGATGAAGGGGAAAGATGGAGATGAGGGTGGACGGACTGGTGGGAGAGGCATCTTTGGTCTTGGACTTGGGTTTGTTTTTGGGAGGTTGGAGTGGGATCGGTTGGTGGAAGGTGAATAGAAGGGATGGATGAAGGATTTGATTAGAGATTTTTGGAATTGAGTTAGAACTTGAAGGAATTGGAAGTGGAAATGGAGGGAGATGAAGAAGTGAGATGTCAAGGTGAGACGGGGATTGCTCGGAAGTTCGGAGTTCCTTGTCCTTGCCTTGTATGTACAGGCAGAGGTAACCTCACATTATCTCGACGAGTCTCCAAACGTATAGCTATACTCTCGTTCTCGCAACAGACGAGTTTTACTTCCTTTAATCTTCCAAGGCGAAGCAGAACTTAGAGCGAGGCGGCAGAAAAGGTAAAGCGAGGCGACAGTCGAATTTTTTTGTATGACTTCGTGTATGACTTCGTGTATCATTTATGATAGTAGTAAGTTTCCATGTTTCATCTTCTCACCGCTAAGATACATATTGATGGCATGAGGTAGGAATAGTGGTATCACAACAGCAGCCAGGACCATGCTTCGCCGAGCCGTTGTTTCCTGATGCCTCAACTCCTTGCAAGCCGTGGTGGTATAGCAGTGGCCAAAAATGTCAAATCATCACCTCTCCATCGCTAAGTGTCAGATATCCTCTCCTCGCTGCCTCTCACTCCGCATATGCTTTAGAACTCCCAGTCCTCATCGACTGACTTGATGGCCCAGTCGAACTTCTCGCGGAGGGTCTTGGAGAAGAAGCGCTCGATTGGCACATCGAACTTCTTGCTGAAGACGACGGTGAGACGTGGGTCGATGTAGTTCTGGAAGAATGGTCAGCATCAAGACAGTAATAGGTGTGCGCTGCGTCAGACTCACAATCTTGGAAGTGCCGAGCGCGACCTCCTTGTTGTTGTCGCGGTCCTCGGCTTGCATCTCCATCGTGGCAATACGGGCGTCGAGCTTCTCGATGTCTTTCTCGTACTTCTCAACTGTCGCGCTCTTGCCTTCCGGGACGACCTTGCCGGTCTTGAGCTCCTTCTTAAGCTTAGCTTCAAGTTCCTTGACAGGCTCCATGCGCTGTTCAAGCTCTTTGGCTTTCATTGGCTTCTCGCCTTCCGCCTCGAGCTTCTCGTTCTCCTTGTCGAATTTTTTCTGGACCTTGGTGCGGGCTTCTTCGACGAGAACTTCGTGGTGCTTCTCCTGCCATTCGCGGTCCAGGCCTTCGGGGAGGGCGAAATAATCTTCACCCTTCTTCTTCTTCAACTTCGGCTCGGTGGCGAGGATCATCTGCTTGACGCGATACTGCTGGTATCGAAGTCCCTTAATCTTCTCTTCCATCTTCTCCATCTGCTGCGCATGACTGGCAGCCACGGTACGCTTGTGATTACAGAGGATGGCAACTCGGCGGTTCGCGTTGTTGTAGGCGAGCACCTTTTCAGCAATGGCTGACTCAAGTTAGCTGGCGCTTACCAAAGTCGCATTCAGACGGATTGATACTTACTGCCCTCAGCCTTCATCTCCTGCAGGAGTTGAGACATGGTGTACGAGGCGTTGTAGGTACGGAAGACCTTGGCTGTAAGTCCTTGCATGTAGTTTGACAAGTGCTTGTTGAGGCCGGAAGTGGTGAGTCGGTCAAAGATCTCGTCGCCATCTTTCTTCGGTGCTTTTAGGCATTGTCAGTACGTGCACTGGATGTAGTCTTGGTGGAGAATGAGTGCTTACGTCGCTTGAAGATCTTCAAGTTCTTGAAGACTTGATGATCGACCTCCACCTCGTCGTAGAAGCGGATCGAATCCTTACCCAGGAAGTCGAAGATGACCTTGTTCGGCGGGCTAAGAGTGACGTTCTCGAATTTGAGCGAACAGCAGCCCACTGTGTCGGCTTCATCCTCACCCTTCTCGTTACCAGCACGAAGAGCGAATCGATCGATCAGGTACATGGCGGTAGCTCGCTGCCTCTCGGCCATGATTTCAGACTTGAGCTCCTTCTCGTAGTCCTTTCGAATGCGGTCGATGTGCTTCTTCAGCTCGCGTGCCTTTTCGAACTTCTTGTAATCACTCTGGCCCTTGATGTCGGAGTTGGCAGCCAGCATGACGTACTTGTAGGCGCCATTGATGTTCTCCTGCCACATTGCAAGCCAAGTACCCTCTTGATCGTGCTTGACTTCTTTCCATTGGTGACCCTCCGGCGGCTTCGGCACCATTGCCTCTTTGCCAATGTTGATGGTGATCTGCTCTGGCTGCACACGCTTCTTCCACTTGCCGGTCTTTGGGTGCTCACCGCGACCACGGAACAGACCTGGAGGTTCAACTCGGAAGTTGCCAACCTTTTGCTTCCGGCCATCCCACATACAGTACATGTACGGAGCCTCAGCCTCGTCCTTCTCCGCCTTCAGCTTCTTCTTCTCAGCCCCGGACAGAGCTTTCTTTGCTGCGCGCTCTGCATCGACGTGGTTGAAGATGGGCTTGAAATCGCACTTTTCGAACTTGGTGATCTTCACCTTCTCGCCCTTGCTGTCAGTTGCGTGACCAGTTCGATCGAGGACCTCCTTAAAGTCGGCGAAGAAGTTCTTCTGGAAGGTTGGGTTCTCCACGTTGTGCGTCGAATTCAGCATGGCACCAAACGCATAGGCAATCTCCTCTGCTTCGATATGCATCGACACCGGAACACCATCGTAGTTCATCTTGACGTTTTTCGGTAGAGGCTCGTATTCTGGAGGGAAGACGACGCCGTTGTGTTCAAGAGTGGTCCATTTGGTGGTTCCGTCGCCTTTCTGCGGATCCTCCCACCATCTGTACTCTTCTTCCTCATCACCTTCAGCCTCTTCTTCCGGAGACTCTTCCTTGACCTTGCCCTTGCCTTTCTTGACAGGAGTCGCAGCCTCTTTCTTGACAGCTGTCTTCTTCGCCGGAGCTTTCTTCTTGAGAGGCTTGTCGTCATCAGAAGACTCCTCCTTCTTGACCTTGCCATTTGCCTTCTTAGCAGGAGCCTTTTTCTTGAGTGGCACGTCGTCGTCGCTGTCGCTCGCCTGCTTCTTGACAGCCTTCTTCTTGGTACCATTGGCCTCCTTGCTGCGGATTGCTTTCGCTTCCTTCTCGGCCTTCTTCTCGATTGCCTGCTTCTCCTTCTGAAGCTTCTTTGCAATCGGCTCATCGCCAGACTCTTCTCCAATCTGAGCAGCCTTCAGAGTGATCGGCTTGTGCACCTTCTTGACGAGGGGAACGTCATCCTCATCAGACTCATCAGAAGTGGCTTTGGTCTTTCGCTTCTTCAGAGGCACATCGTCTTCGTCTTCTGATGATGAGGCATCTTTGTAGTTGCCGTTCGCAAGAGATGCCTTTCGCTTTGTGCCGCTTGATGCACCATTGGTCGCGCCATTCGTGACGCCATTCGTAGTCGGCTTGATATCGATATCCATCGCTTCGACTGGTCCGTTAGCCAAGCTGATGCCCGGAGCGACGTTGTCCGTTGAAGTGTCCATCGCTTCGTCCGCCTTTGATATTGTGGGCTTGGACTTGGCTGTGGAAATACGGTGTTAGCTGAGAGGGACTCGAAGTTGAAGAGTGTTGAAAGGAATGAAAGCAGTAGAAGTTGGTTGAAATCGGTAGTCGCAACTGATGGCACATGCAACTGAGCTGCGCACGTGCACTTTGCAGAGGGATGTGAAGTGTTTGAGGTGAAGGTTGTGAAGCAAGACATGCGCAAATTCGTGCGTCGTGAAAAGCGCAGGGGACCGTCCCAAGTCAATTGCCGAGGCGAGGCCAGGCGCATAGGGAATTGACATACCGACGAGAGGCGTATCATCTTCGGAATCAGACATGTTGCAGATAAAAGGCCGAGCCTGCCTGACTGCGCTTTTGAGGAGTGGTGGGGGCCGACAGCGCGTAGAGGTGAAGGCGGAAGTGGTGGACTCGACGCGTGCGGCGCTCTTTGCGGAGGTGCTCCCAAAGACTACACGGAGGCCGAAGTTGAGAAGGAGATGACGGCCGACGGCCCAGAATCGAGTGATGCGTAGAATATTTGCTAAGTTTGCAGCTGTAGAGACTGTCGCGCGTCGATGTGAGGGAGAATTGGGCCAAATGCAGCAAAGGAAGGAGCAGTGGGAGAAGAAAGCGCCGGGCAGCGGCAGGTGGGAGAAAGGGACTGCGAGAGGGAAGGCAAGTTGCTGCTGCTAAAGAAAGCCGCAGTGTTTTCCATCCCACCGCCGCGCTGTTTTCAGCACGATTCACCCTACTTTCTGCCCGCGCCAAGCCTCTGCGGTTTCCCGAGACCGGCTAGTCCCGCAGAGCAGCAGCAGCAGGCTGCCGACCTCATCAACGTGCACAGGCAAAGGCGAGCTTGGAGTGCTGTTTGCTGGCAGCCATTGCACCCTCACATCACCGCACATCTCCCCTCACAATGTTGTCCAGAGTGGCGAGACCGGCTCTCCGGGCTGGCTCGGCGCAAGCCCTGCGGTATGTCTGCGCAAATCTTCCCAACTGCCCGCCAAAAGAAGCTCGACAGAAGAAACACCTCCCATTCCCATACTAACACCGCCATCTCCCACCCAGACCTGCCGCCGCCGCCGCTCCCGCCCTCCAGAGCGCCAACTATGCCACCCTCCGCGAAATCGAAGGTCGTCTCAAGTCGATCAAGAACATCGAGAAGATCACCAAGACCATGAAAATCGTCGCATCCACCAAGCTCACCAAGGCTCAGCGCAACATGGAGGAGTCTCGCTCGTACGGAAAGACATCCAACACCGTCTTTGACGAGGCCGAGACCAAGCCATTGGAGACAGAGAACAAGAAGGTGCTTTTGATTGTCTGCAGCTCGGACAAGGGTCTCTGCGGTGGTATTCACTCCGGTCTGACTCGTGCTGTGCGCCGCATGCTCAACGAGGAGCCAGCAGACTACACTCTGGTCACTCTTGGCGAGAAGTGCAAGTCCCAGCTCAGCAGATCCAACGCCAAGAATATGGCCCTTTCCTTCTCCGGCATTGGCAAGGACGTGCCAACTTTTGCTGATGCTCAGGCCATCGCCGACCAGGTCACTCAGCTCGAGGGCGACTACTCATCTGTCAAGATCATCTACAACAGATTCATCAACGCCCAGTCATACGAGCCGACCATCATCGAGGCTTTCTCCGAGGACGCCATCAAAGAGTCACGTGAGTTTTCATCCACACACGCCATCCCGTAACTTCACTGACATGTACATTTTAGCAAACTTCTCCAACTTCGAAGTCGACGAGGAGCTTCTCGGTAATCTCCGTGAATACGCCCTCGCCAACTCCATCTACTGGGCACTTTCCGAGGGCCACGCCTGCGAAATCTCTGCTCGTCGTAACGCCATGGACAACGCCTCCAAGAACGCGGGAGAGATGATCGACAAGTTCCAGATTCTTTACAACCGAACGAGACAGGCTGTCATTACTGGCGAGTTGGTCGAGATTATTACTGGTGCTGCCGCGTCGGAGGACGCTTAGATGTGATTCGCATAGAGTCGTTGTACATATAGCGCACGCAGATCGAGAACGTCTCGGGAAAATCAGAAAAGTCTCCTTTGTCGGCAATACCTGAATTCTCCGTATCATTATGCATCTGCGTCGCGAAGCCCTTCGTCTCTCGGCGGCTCGGTGTAGTGTGACCGCAGCAGAGTGATCATTGTGACGTTGACTGAATGAATGGAGAAAATGCCAGTGCTAAAGAAGGAAGTATGTTTTCACCTTGACTTGGACTATCGATTCATGGTCTTTGAAAGGGAGAGGATTAATAGTGCTTGAGGTTCCATTGCTTGTACTTCTCGTACACTACCCAGGCAGGGAATAGAAATAGCTAGATCGCTTAGCAATGGCACGACAGCGGTGAAGGTAGTTTGACCAGTAGTAGTGGTACGCGTACGGCGTTCAATTGCAAAGTAGAGCCGTTGCGGCCTCATTCATGGGGTGCCTTGTTAGTAGTGATCACAGAATGGGTAATATGGATAACATGCCACGCAAGAATCGCAGTTTCATGCAGAAGACAAGGCTGTTATTGATTCATAGCATGGAGTTGACTAGACTTAAGAGAGGACCGATGAAAGAATCGCGGCCAAATCTAACTCACAGCTCATCTCTCTTCTGTCCTTCCTTCTGCTGCCCCTGTTGCTGAGCCTCCTCATGCTTCTCATCCTCGACTTCTGCCTCAAAAGTCTTCTTCTTGGGATTCTTGGGAACATCACCTCGTTCCTGAAGCACAGTCCCATCACCTCTCTTGACAGGCTGCTCATTCTGCTTTGCACTCTGCTCTGCCATCTTGCCGATGTCTTCACTGACCTTGCCTTGAAGTATAGGGTTTTGAACTTTCGCTCCTGCGCCACCTGCGCCTGCCGGGACAGCGTTACGCTTTACGTCGTCTGGCAAGGGAGAAGCTCTGCCTTGTGCGCTCGGCTGGACGATCAGAGGCGTCCGTGTTGATGACAATGCTGTATGCGTGACTGCGTTGGGGTTCGCAGGCTCGTTCGTGATCACCCCTACTAATGTAAGGAGGAAGAAAAGCGGTTTGAGGAAGACCCAGTTCGCGAAGAAGATTAGAGTGTTGACCAGAAACAGTGGTAGCTTGATGAACGGCCCGTACAAGATGCGTCGAAACACGAGCCAGATGAGTGTTGTTGCGAGGATGTAGAATGCGGTCTCCAGATACCAGGTATCACTCTTTTGGCTTCTTACCAGTGTTGACAGAAGGTTACGACTATTACTGAGGATGTTGTCGAGGTTGCTGTATTCCTCGCCTAGCTGCTTCAGTGCGGTCGTCGACTCGTCAAATGTCTCCTGCGCGAAACGAGATCGTTCCAATTCTGTCGAAAGCAAGGCGTGAGTGCGTCGTAAAGCAGAGGTCACGTCGCTGGTTGCGTTGACCAATATCTCATCCTTGGTGAGCTGTTTCTGCTGCTGATATCCTCTGCGTCGTGCGAAAAGCTGTTCTCTTGCGTCCCCACCAATCAATCCGTTCGTGGTAGTACCTTCGTCTGCCGCGAGCTGTTCTGCTTCTCTTCTATAACCCTCGAGTAATGCCTCTCGCTCTTGTCGCTTTGCCTGTTCGCTGGCAAATTTAGCCGCGATCTGTGCGTTTCGGAACTGCTGCCTCGAATGCACGAGCTCTTCCCCGAGCTTGACTACTTTTGCTGTGATGCGCACGTCTTCTGCTGTGCTTGAGTCTCTTCGTCTTCGCTGTGATATGCGCTCTTTGTAGTCGTCTGCTTCTTGCTTCAGGAACTCAAGTTCTTCTTCAAGCTGCTTGAGACTGTCGTGGATGTCTTGCGCAAGTTCGACCCGTACTCCAGTATCGCCTTCCAGTGGTTCTGAGCCAGGCTGGAATGTGAGCTTCGATAAGCGGCTGATGAGTAAGTTGGTAGTCTTTAGACTATCTGAGAGCGCAGCCAACTGGTTGGAGAGGTCGATGGTGTTCATGGTTGTGGCTGTGGGGAGAGAGGGGAGCTGGCGCTGGCGCTTTGTGTGTTCGGTGACGTATTCTAGTGCTATTGAGAATGCCGGCTCATCAAGGTGTCGGCGAGAGGGACGAATCTCTAACGACAGCCATATCTCTATTCAGCACAGCGCAAGCACGATGATTGCGACATTCACATGCAAAAATGGCCGGCAGCACTTGCCATATCTCTTCCTTCACTCCGAAAACGGGGCTCCCCCTAGTTCTCCCTAGCGTGGTCCCTGGCTGTTGCCCGCAACGGTCGGATAGCTCCAAATTAATCCACCTGCATCTCGAAATCTACAGCTGGCTTCATTGCCTGTCACTCCTGGACATTGAATCGGCAGCATTCGACGCCGCCAATAACATTCTTTTCCAACATAGGCTGGCATAATTCGACATACGTTGCTGTATAACACTACCTCTCCTTCGGCACCCTCCTGGCGTCAAGACATTGACATCTCAGCCTGCGGGCTGCTCACATGCCGACCAATTGATTAATCTTCTCACCACCACACCACATATTCACGATGCCTGCGAAAAGCCGCTTCACCAGGCTCGATGCCTTTACCAAAACTGTCGAAGATGCTCGCGTACGAACGTCCACGGGCGGCATTGTCACTATCGCATCGTTACTACTTATCTTATATCTGACCTGGGGAGAGTGGGCGGACTATCGAAAGATTATTATTCATCCTGAATTGATCGTGGATAAGGGCAGAGGGGAGAGGATGGAGATCCATCTCAACGTCTCCTTTCCTCGCGTGCCATGCGAGCTGCTGACTCTCGATGTCATGGATGTGTCTGGCGAGGTTCAGACAGGCGTGTTGCACGGTATCAACAAGGTGCGCCTGAGCAGTGTGGCCGATGGAAGCAAAGTGATCGAGAAACAGAAGTTGGATTTGGATGCCGCAGAGAACTCCGTACATCTCGCCCCAGACTACTGTGGAGAATGTTACGGTGCTCCCGCTCCTGATAATGCGAAGAAAGCTGGATGCTGCAACACCTGTGCCGAAGTAAGAGACGCATATGCTAGTGTGTCGTGGTCGTTCGGGAGGGGCGAGAATGTCGAGCAGTGCGAACGAGAACACTACAGCGAGCAACTCGACGCCCAGCGCAAAGAAGGATGCAGGATTGAGGGAGCACTTCGGGTCAACAAAGTCGTAGGCAACTTCCACTTTGCGCCTGGCAAATCTTTCAGCAATGGCAATTTGCATGTTCACGATTTGGACAACTACTTCAACAGCGGCGAGGTCGAGCACTCGTTCACGCATCATATCCACCGTCTGCGTTTCGGACCTCCACTACCACACGATTTCGACAAAAGAGTCGGCAAGAAGGGCATGGCCTGGTCGAACCACCATCTCAATCCACTTGATGACACTCACCAGGAGACTGATGACTCTGCTTTCAACTTCATGTACTTCGTCAAGGTTGTGAGCACTGCATACCTTCCACTCGGCTGGGAGAAGACGAACTCATTTTCTCGCTCCCTCCCACATGAGTTGATCGATCTCGGAGACTATGGTCACGGCGAACAAGGCAGCATCGAAACACACCAGTACTCTGTCACCTCCCACAAGCGGTCGCTACAGGGCGGTGATGCCAAGGATGAAGGCCATAAGGAGAGAGTGCATGCCAGAGGTGGCATACCTGGTGTTTTCTTCTCATATGTAAGTTTGGTATTTCGCCACAAGATACGTACCTTGCTAAAAACGCGTTCAGGACATTTCGCCGATGAAAGTCATCAACCGCGAGACAAGAGCGAAGTCCTTTTCTGGTTTCCTGGTCGGCGTCTGCGCTGTTATCGGTGGTACACTGACAGTTGCGGCTGCAGTAGATCGTATGCTATACGAGGGAGAACAAAGGGTCAGGAAGTACCACAACAGCTAGATATGTATTATGAATGTAGTATTGACGACTGGAGCATTTACTGGAGCCTAGAGTCTGTTTCGCATGGAGTCCAGGAGTAGGACTAGGCGGCTGAGGAGAATTGCAATTACTTTAAGCTTTACCAGGTCCCTATACCTGACCTCAACCACACCACTTCACTTCAGGTGAGATTGCAGCACTGAAGATGTTGTCTCTCATACGTGTGCGGAACGAAGCAAGAAGCTGAGAAAAGCACAAATGAAACCCAGACCCACGCACAGGTGAGGTTTAGCCACAGGGCTGTCCTTCATCCTGCGATTCTACACCTCTGAACTTTCGCCACAACCACATCGACCATCAACCCGAGCACCAAAATTCATCATCCCATCAACCATCCCTCCCCCACAACTCCCCATACCAATATCTCGATCGACACAATGGCACCAGGCCAACAAATCCACGCCCCAGACCTCAGCTACACCGTCGCGAAAAAAGTCTGCACTTCTCAAGATTTCGAAAGACTGGCTTGTGCTTTTTTAAGTGCGACTTCTAACGTAGATGTGAGTTGAAGCGAGTTCAATCATTGGTGTGTGTACTCGCTAACGCTCGGATAGTTTGATGCAAACAAAGCGGCACGAGAATTCGGAACGGGTTGTAAACCGGACAGTTTTAAGAGGGCGATTTGGGCGATTTGTAAGAAGATTAAGGAGGCTGCTGGGGATAATGTGAAGGGTGGGGAGAAGGAGAAGGAGAAAGGGGATGGTGGGGGAGTTCAGCAGCAGAAAGGGAAGGGGAGGAAGAGGAAGGTTGATGGGGATGATGAAGCTACGCCGAAGAAGGGAAGGAAGCGGAAGGTTAGTGGAGATGGGGAGGAAGAGAAGCAGAGTGATGAGAGGCGTGGTGTTGGAGGAAGGAAGAAGGTGAAGAAGGAATTTGGCTTGGAGAATGGTGGAGTGGGTGATGAGGAGGATAGTGATGGTCTGGGATTCCTCTGAGTGTGTGAATCGGATCATTTGAGACTGGTGTGACTACGATTTGGCTTTGGTCTGGTTGAGATTGGCACTCGAGCGATCACTAGGAGCGTCTCTCAGTTGCTACAAATGCTTCAGTGGGATACTTGAGGGTATGGTATGTCTGCTATTGGGAAATTGAAACTTCATGGCCATGACTTAACCTCCATGCGATCCTCCTCAATCCCCATAGCGGGTTTATATCTTTGAGATGAAGCTCGCTCGAACTGTGGTCCACATTAATGTGCATGTGAGGTTTAGATGACAAGACACAGCCACAGATTCTGTCACAAGTTCAAGTGAGGTTTCCGTCGGCTCAGATCGTGATGGTAAAGCTCCGCAGACATGTGCATCTAAGTGAAGTACGGAAAACCGTTGGCCAGCCACCAAGCTTTTGAGCCGCTGCGACATATAAGTCTTTCTCACTTTCTCCGTGCGACTTCTTTCCACAAACATCGACATCGACATCGACATCGTAAGAACACACACCTACACAACAACAACTTCCAACAACATAGCAACAACCATCATGGCTATCTCTCTCGAAGGAATCGGAGAAACCGACCTCAAGCGCTTTGCCAGCTGCTGGCTCAACAGCAGCATGCAGGTAAGTGCAGCAACAGCTCGCGCCGACCCACAACTTCAAACAAATGCTAAACATTCTCGCAGTGTAATTGGGATGGAGCAGCGGCAACCTTCGATCCAGAGGGCAAGTCCAAGCTCGCTTCATTCAAGACGGTCACCAGCAAGGCTGGCAAGAAGTACGGCGGAGGCGGAGGCGATGGTGGCAACGGCGACGGCACTCCAAAGAAGGCCGCCGGCGGTAAGCGCAAGAAAGCTGCAGGAGAGGATGGCGAGGGCACTACCAAGAAGAAGATCAAGGGGGCTGGTAAGAGCAAGAAGTCTGAGGAGACCGTCAATGAAGGTAAGTGAGACTCGATCAAATGTGGCTGAATCACAGCGTGTGCTGACTGACCATTGATAGAAGATGACGGCCTGACAGTCAAGAGCGAGGCTTCTGCCGGTGAGGAGGATTAGAGGCTTGTACGGGTCTATTGAGCCGGGACGCTGCTATAGCGCTGCATCAGGAGACATGAACCCAGGACTAGGAGCGCTGGCTGGACAGCTGCGGCGGTGCGAAACTTTCTACGAGCGACGTTGGGGGAAAGTATCCCTTGACGATTGTGCAAATGGTCAGGGAGATGCTGAATCTTAGCCATAGACGTCAGGATTCTATAACATCAGAGGATCGAGAGCTTGTTACCAGCTTTTCGCGTCCCATTAATTTTCGGGGTCCCTTCAGTATGCCATGCTGCTCGCATTTTCACGTTCTTGCGGCGGGCTGTGCGGGTCCAGGCACTATCGAAGATCCAGTTTACTCACTGTCGGCCGAGACTCTGCCTCAAATGTGAGGAGGGAGAGCGGTCTGCGCTATATGATCACTTCGAGCCCACAATCACGACCTTCTTGTTGGATATCAAGGATTTGATTGTGACCTGGCTTGAGGGCGAGGAGTGTCGAGAGTGCTTCAAACTCGCAGTGGAGGAGTCTCGAGAAGTGGAGCGCACACTGAAGTCGGTTCCTTCTCAGGGTGACTATTTGACTATAGCAGATCTGGAGCGAACAATTTTTGGCAGGCGGTGCCACCAGTGACGCGGGGGAAGATCTAGGCTAAGAAGCTGTGCCTGGTACAAAGGAGAGCTTCGCTGTTCCTGAAGAAGTCGAAGGCAAGGATGGACGCGTGCGATCGGAGGGCTATGTCCTGGCACCCTTGGTGATGGGCTCTGCCTCTGCAGTCCGCCACCAGCTTACGCCCTCTTTGCCGGGGAACTCATATCGATCCATGCTCTCAGCCTTCATCTCCACGGAATATCCAGGTTCGGTGGGTGTCGTGTAATATCCATCCTTGATCACAGAGGGATGCAAGAAGTGTTCATGCAAGTGATCAACATACTCCAGAACAGAAAGCTTTCCCGATACAACCACGTAGTCAATAGTGCTCAGGTGTTGAGTATATTCCGGCAGACCAACGCCTCCGCTGTGTGGCACAATTGGTACTCCATACTTTTTGGCCATGAGAAGCACGGCTAGGACCTCATTCACGCCTCCGATTCGGCATGCATCAATCTGGCACACATCGATCGCACCTTGCACGATCAGCTGCTTGAAGATGACCCGGTTCTGGCACATCTCTCCAGTGGCAACACCGATGCCCAGTGGCTTGAGCGCTTCTCGAATAGCCTTGTGCCCGAACACATCGTCTGGGGACGTCGGCTCCTCGATGAACCACGGCTTGAATTCTGCCAGCTGCTTCATGTACTCAATGGCTTCGGGCACACTCCACACTTGATTTGCATCCACCATCAGCAAATTTCCCTTATCATATCCAATCACAGACCTCGCGATACTCAACCGCTGCCGATCTTGCTCTACACTCGTTCCAACTTTCAGCTTGAAGTGTCTGTATCCTTCATTGACAGTCTCCTGCAGCAAAGCTTTCATCTTCTCTTCACCGTATCCCAACCAACCGGCGCTCGTTGTATAAGCAGGCACAGCACGATTCCGTTCCGCCTCCTTTATCCTCTGCGCCTTACCGGGCTCCTGCTCCTTCAGAAGCTGAATGGCTTCCTCCGGTGTGATTGCGTCTGTGATGTACCTGAAGTCTATACACTTCACAAACTCCTCCGGGCTCATCTCAGCCACGATCCTCCACACAGGCTTACCCAGCTGCTTCGCCCACAAATCCCATATCGCATTCACCAAAGCTCCCAACGCAAGATGTATCACGCCCTTTTCAGGCCCTATCCAACGAAGATGTGAGTCGGAGACCAGATATCTCCACGTCTTGCCCCAATCTGCTACCAGATCTTCGAGCTTCTTGCCTTTCACGCGTTCCGAAAGTGCGGCTATCGCCTGGCATACGATCTCGTTTCCTCGTCCGATCGTGAAGGTCATGCCATGACCTGAGTGCTTAGAGTCTGTGTGGAGGATACAGTAGGCGGCCGAGTAGTCGGGAGCAGCGTTAATGGCATCGCTGCCGGTCTTGTCAAGGGATGTCTAGAAGCAAGTCGTCAGTGTTTCTCCCATGTTTTGAGATCTCTCTTCTCGACGTCACATACCGGAAACCTGACATCCTTCGTAGTCACACTTGTGATTGTCACCATCTTGTCTTGAACGTGGCTATGTTTGTGGGAAGTATGAATATATCAATATGAAAGATTCTCGACTCAACTTTTCGTTCTTTCTTTGCGGATCGTCAGGGACAGTCATGAAGTACACACCAGCAACGCCATGCCATTGCCCTACTACCCCACCGAGGCGACCTTGGGGGACCATGAACCGGGACAAAGATTCGCCAGAGACACGACTGGGAGAAAGGCGGAAAAGGACGGGACTGACGATGTTGGCGGAGGACTGGACTGCATTTAGCCGGACGGTACTGTAGAATATTAGCCGCTCACATGAAAGTGCAACCTGAATATTCATGGACGGCTTGTGTAATTGTCTTGGCAGGAAGTTCCACCTGTACCCACCACCATATGATCGAGCCGAAGGAAATGTCCATTGCTTGTACATCACAGCCATCGCGGTTCGCACTCCTGGATATCTCGTTCGCTGAAATCACGAAGTCGATGATGCATCTTTGTCAAAGCCAGGACGATTTTTTGCATGGAGCACAAAAGACTGCCTGGGCACTCACTACGAGTGCAAAAAACAAACGACGAGTGAAAGCAGAATTGGGTAATGTGGCCAAGGCTTGACATGGTCTCCGGTCGCCTAATAACACCATGGCATCAGAGCCTGGCTGTATACCAATTAAGTCAACTCCGAGAGCAGATCGCTGAACGACCGTAATAGAGCAAGCTCAGCAATCTGAATTCCTCATGGTTCGCTCCCAATACCATCTACGATGAACTTTGCAGGCGAGAAAATCTCATCTTCCGCAGGACTTTGAATAGATCTGACATGGGCTCGAGAACGGTTCAGGACGTGGCTAGCGAATGACGGGATTGCCATGGACCAGCGGTGTAACAAGCGCCGCCCTCACCACACCTGCACCGACATTGTAGCTTGACACGGAACACAAGAACGATTCTATACCTCGATCGGGCTTCATTCAGGGAGCATGGAAAGAAAGCAAACCATCATGGCTGCCGAAGGACAAAGTCACCACGACAGCGCTCGTAGTCTGGTTGAGCCATTGCAGCGGAGAACCTCACCTACCCAGGGATATTCTTTTTCGAAGCAACGAGAGCTGCCCGGATACTTATGCCGATGGGTAACAAAGTATCGTCACCGCTGGGAGCCGCTACGTTTTTCTTTTGTCTGCAAAACACCCATTACCACAGCGGCAGCGAAGGAGCGCGATCGTCATTTCGCATACAACATGGTAAGGGCTCGATGAGCGGCTCCGTCCGCGCTACCCGGGCCCATATAAACACGTGCAGTCCTGATCGCCCTTTGCCGCTTGCAGCACTTCGTCACAGTAGTGCGATCGTACCACCGTCACGATCTCACGATACAAGAGGAGCGTCCCCTCTTGTGCCTCTGAATCCCAGTGGCGCTTCTGAACAAGGAGAGCACTGCGAGCATTGCGTCGACGTTGTCACAGGCGACGCCAAATGAAAACATTAGAGGAAGGCCTCTTCAAGCGATGTTGTACTCAGCACGCTATTGTCTCCCAGCAATCTTGCCCAACTCTAACAATCACATATAATGATGCTCTGGATTATCATGGCGTTGGTCTCTACAGCAGTCAAATCAAGCACCCGAAACAAGCTCTTCCTTCCGTGAGCTTTCTCCGCATTTTCTGAAAAAAGTGTACAGATCTGCATCGTTCATGGCGTTCGACGACCACTTATTTTGAAGTACCTGGAAACTCTATTCTACCAAGATTGCTGGAATGTATATCGATCAGATGTGGTTGAGCCTCGACGCGGAGCCCCAATGCAGAATGCAGATGACCTCACATCACAGATCGAACGTCGAAAGATCGCCCTCTCGGTACAAGATTTGCGAATGCGAGAGCCATACTGGTCTTTATATTGATAGACACGAGCGAAGCACTTCTGCCGTCTGTTGCAAATCTTCTTCGACTGGACGACTGACCAACGAAGTATTCCCCGAAGATGTCGTCTTCAAGCAACTATCCCAAGTTCTTGGGCATGAATGGCAAGCCTCTGGAGTGGACTGTCACAGTGATCTTGACCTTTGGGTTCGTGCTGGTAGGCTACGATCAGGGTAAGTCGTATCGAAGAGTCTAGACTTGAAGGACAACACGCCGCTGACCGCGTTCGCAATAGGTGTGATGTCCGGAGTCATCACTGCACCTCAATGGCTCAGCTTGTTTCCGAGAGTCAACCACAACGCTACGCTTCTGGGATTTACTGTTGCCATATACGACATCGGCACCATGCTTGGAGCGGTGTCTATGATATTCCTTGGAGATCGCCTAGGCCGTAAGAAATCATGCTTACTCGGCGGCGCTGGAGTCATCATTGGTGTTGTAATCCAGGTCACGGCCATGCCTTCGTCTTCGATCGATGGCAGATTTGCCCAGTTCTTAATCGGTCGCACAATCACAGGATGGGGCAATGGTATCAATATGGCATCCATGGCGGTTTGGCAGTCTGAGCTTTCTCATGCAAGCCGCGGAATGCTTGTCTGCTTGTCAACCGGTCTCATTGCTACTGGAACTATGTTCTCATACTGGCAAGCAGAATTTGACTAGCATGCTGACCAAGCTGACGCTTCGCCCAGGCTGAATTACGGCATTCAAAATTACACGACATCAATCACCTGGAGATTTCCCATCGTAAGCGAACCGGCACAGTGACAAAGCAAAGCTGACTCGGAGCACCATGCAGGCTTTCCAAATTGTGCTTTGTCTCGTCTACTTCATCGGCACATCCTTCCTACCCGAAAGTCCTCGCTGGCTATGCAAGATGGATCGCATCGAAGCCGCGACAAAGTCAATGGCTGCTATCAACAAAGAACCAATCGATGGACCGAAAACGAAAGAGGACATTCGTGGTATTCTCGACTCTATCGCCATCGAGCAGAGCAGCGACGCAGGCTTCTTCGGCATTGGAGACATGTTCACAGGAGGCCCCTCGCAGCATTGGCGCCGTGTCCTCATTGGCGTCTCATCGCAGTTCTTCCAGCAGATCACAGGCTGTGAGCCATCTCCAAGCATCAAGATATCTAGTGATCAGTACTAATTCTTGCCAGGCAACGCCGTCATCTATTATTCGCCGATCCTGTTTCTTACCACGCTAAAGACCTTGCCTCACTTCTCCCAGCTGATTGGTGGCGTGGACATGATCGTCTACGCACTGTTTGCACTGCTGTCATTCTGGACTGTGGAATCCGTCGGGCGCAGAAAGGTCTTCCTGATTGGCACGGCTGGCCAGATGGTCAGTGCAAACGAGAGAGCCGTTAAACACGTATACTGAATCTCAGCAGGTCTCTATGATTATCACCTTCGCATGCATTATCCCGGGAACAGCGAGTGCAGCCAAAGGTGCCGCATTTGGTCTCTTCCTGTACATCGCATTCTTCGGTCCTTCATACTTGACAGTGCCCTGGCTTTACGCGGTAAGTTTCGCGTCGACTATATCAACGAAAACGCTTAAGCTGACTGACCCATCCGCCTAGGCTGAGATCAATCCTATCAAAATTCGTGCGAAAGGTGCCGCTGCCGCCAACATCGTGAACTGGAGTTTCAACTTCCTGGTCGTCATGGTTACTCCGATTATGATTCAGAACATCGGCTGGGGAACCTATCTCTTCTTCGCAGCCGTGAACGCCGCTGCCCTCCCTTTCATGTGAGCAATCATTAAAGCCATCTCTGAAGTCATTAATGCTGACTGAAAATCGTAGCTATTTCTTCTACCCAGAGACAAGCCACCGATCTCTGGAAGAAATCGATTTCATTTTCGCAAAGTCACGCTCTCCGAACCCAGCGCTTATTATATCTTCCGAGCCGCTTGCTAACACTCTTTCTTAGGGGCTACTACGAGAACATCTCCTACGTCAAAGCCGCCAAGGAAATGCCGCGCTTGACCAACGACGACATGGAAGCTCTTGCTGACGAATATGGCCTGACTGATGTTAAGATGAAGAGGGCTGATAGTGGTAAGGACAGCGCAGCTGAGGTGGAGACTTATGAAAAGGTCTAAAGGGATGAAGGAATGATCGATGCAGAATCTTGAGACATTCGTTTGGACGAGTGGTAATCGTATCGTCGGGAGACATGAAGGTCTCGCAATTCTTGAAAGATGTAACCAGAACGATCGTCGAAGTGTAAGATGCGAGGAATCATTGCGATGCCAACAATGGACTCCTTTGCTGAAGCTGGCCTCCCGTTCTCACCGCCATTCACAAACTTGTGACCTAAGCGCGAATATTCTTGTGCTATCAAGTCAGACACTGCAGTTTGTGTTCCGAACAGTCGGCTTCTTTCTCCAGTTTGTGTTATAACTGCCAGAATCCAAAGAGACCCTTATCCTCAAGAGCAATGCAGCAAACCAGCTGCTCCAGTCAAATACACCCATCCTACCCAAGAACCATGTCTTCCACACCAGTCGTGAGTAAGACGCAAACAAAATGTCCGACCCCAAACCCATCGTAATCGGCCTCTACGGCGTCCCAGGCTCTGGCAAGACCCATCTGATGAACCACACCCTCAAGAAAACCTTCGGAAACAAATGCCTCTACTACGACGGCTCCTCCGTCATCGCCCAAGTTTTCGAAGGCGGTCTCCCAGCATTCAACAACCTCCCTCCCTCCGAAAAAGTCTCCGTCCGCGAACTCGCAATCCAAAAAATCCAAACCCAATGCCTCTCAGCCCGCAAAATCGGAATCGTCACCGGCCATTTGACATTGTGGAATCATCCGGAACCAGAACCGGAATACGTCTTCACGACCGCGGATTTCGAGGTGTATGATTGTATTTTTTATCTAGACCCTTCTGCCGCGACGGTCTTTCAACAGGTTAAGGATGATGTTGGCAAAGTGAGGGGGCTGATGAGTTTGGAGGGGATTCAGAAACATAAGGATTTGGAGTATGGGAAGTTGCAGGAGTTATGTTATGAGTTTGGGGTTTTGCAGGCGAGGATTGATCCTTGTGCTGTGAACGATGGGCAGATTTTGAAGATGGTGGATGATGTTTTGCGGAATTTGGGGGATTTGAGGACGGAAGAGGAGAATTCCGAGGAAGTTTTGAGGCGTTTGGATGGGATTGTTCCTGTCGGAGTGAAGAATATGTTTGTCATCGACGGCGACAAAACTCTGGCACCACACGATTCTGGCGATATGTTTTGGCGGAAGTTTCCTGGATCTGAGGGCGTGCTGAGAAAGCTTTTTGGGAGTAATATGAGATACTCTTATCAAGCGTGGCGTCAAGCTTCTCTCCTGTACGAGACGGAAGTCAGCAGCGAGAAATTCGAGCGGGTTTGTGATGCAGTGGCGAACGATATCACTCTGTACCCGGAAATGGAAAGTTTCTTAAAGGAGATCGTCGGCTCGCAGGATATCGGTGCGGTCGTTGTGACTTGCGGGCTGAGGCGGATCTGGGAGAAGGTTCTTCAGAGAGCAGGACTTTTTGAGCATGTGAAAGTCATCGGTGCCGGCCGCTTCGACAATGGGTATGTTGTGAGCGGAGAAACGAAGGCACGCATCGTTCAACACCTTCAGAGCAAGCACGACATGAAAGTTTGCGCCATCGGTGACAGCAAGCTTGATTTGCCCATGCTCAGAGAGGCCGATAGTGGAGTCGTCGTTGTTGGCGAACCTGCCCTTCGGAGCGAGTCAATGTCAGAGCATCTGTGCTGTTCCGGCGGGATGGAGGGTTTGTACGGCAAAACGTACCAGGTCACACTGCCACCAGAGGTTTCTCCGTTGCCTCAGAAAGCCCTGCCGCAGATCGATCTCGAAGCAGTCTCTAAGCAGAAATGGAGCATCAACCTGCTCCATGCTACCGGCAAGACCGCTGCCAGATTGTTGATGACGCCGATGCGTGACGCGAAAGTCAGCGGCAGGGCTCTTCAAGAGGCACATCGTCAAGTCGGTCGCTATCTGGCGATCGAGTACTTGGCAGATGTGATCGGTCTTGAACAGTACGACACGCTGCATGTCCAGAACACCATAACCTCCGGAAATCGCTTAGCTGGTGAAGCAAAAACGGTCATAGTTCCACTCATGAGAGGCGGCGAGCCCATGGCATTTGGAGTCCACGATACATTCCCACTTGCTTCGTTTCTCCACGCGAGCAGTCCAGAAGATCTGAAGGTCGATAAGCTCAAGGATCGCGAGACTATCATCCTTGTGGACTCAGTCGTCAATAGCGGCAAGTCCATTGCGGAGTTTGTCAATCACATCCGCAAGCTCCGAATTGCAGCGCGTGTCGTGGTGGTGGCAGGTGTTGTGCAGCAAGAATCTGTGGCAGAGAATGGCACGCTTGCAAGGGCACTGGATGGTTTCGGTGTGCTGGATGTCGTTGCTCTGCGGCAGTCTGCGAATCGGTACACCGGGGTTGGAGGCACAGATACTGGCAATCGCCTGTTCAACACTACTCATCTCGAATGAGCAGCGCTGGAAGGAATGAAGCTTGCTTCGCCGGGGTATTGCATCCGAATATCTAGAGGGTAGCAGTGGTTCTTGAACAAGCAAATCGTCGACCATTCCTCTGTCCTGTTCCTCATGGCTTGGTCCAGGACGAACGGACTTTGCAGCATGTATGTAGATGGAGAAATGACAGAAGTCGGCTGCCAAGCAATGCTTTCATGTCTTTCATGTCTTTCATGTGGTTTCTCAAGAGTGGAGCCCTGTCGATTGCGTGTGATTGGTCGATGGGAGAATTACGGAGTCTTCACGTTGCGCTTCATCCACCTCTTGAACCTCACCCCTTCCTACCAGATTGCTCACCAAGGCATGATAATCTTGCAACCGGCTCATGACCAGACTCACATTGTTGCTGCGCACTCATCCCACTTCTCCTCTCCCGTTAGACGGCTCGAGCATGCCAAGGTCCCGGGTATTTAGCCGTTTCGAGCTTCAAGCCAAAGGATTTTGTTGCTGCAGAGCTGTCCGACTTTTCCGCACAGGATCATCTGCGTCCTTCTGAGCCGTGATGCTGCAGAGCAAGCTGGCTACACTCGCTCTCGCGCTGACTGCACCTTGGCTGCGTAGATCTATCAGCTTGGGCGAGCTGGTAGGTTATATCGGAGTGTTTGGCTTTCTTCAGACAGCATTAGTGCATTGCATTTGACAGTCCTTCGGGCAGCTTGTTCGAATCTGGCATGGCTTGAGCTGTAGCTCCGCCATGCCGCGCACGTCGTCATTCCTTGTGTTCGATTCTTGAATAGATCGTCCTTTTGTACTTGCATCTTGTGTCGATGTTGGAAATGGGCAAGAAAGAGAGGCCTACTTCAAACGCGGCTTCATCGCCCGAAGACCGTGTATCTAGCGATGAGCAGATAAGCTCCACCTTGAGTGCGTCGCCGCCTGTAGCGCATTGAGTTGTTCAAATGATCGCTCTGTGTACGATGGACTCACAGCGAACAGTGCAGATGAATCGACTATCGAGAATCGAAGTCACCGGCTTCGACAAGCAAAGAAGACTCTCATCAGACTTACCGGAAGTCGTACCTGCATACAGGTCCCAGGTCAAGGAAGCTGTATGCTATGATACCGCAAGCGATTACACCTTTGTCATAGACCGGTCAAAGGCTTGACCCTTGGCCAGATGGTCTATTTGCATGGCGCAGTCGAGCATGATCTGCCCCGGCGATCCTTGATCAGAATTCAAACATCATGCCTATGTTAGCACCCTCGAACCAGAGCAAGTGCTATCAATGAGAAGCGATGTTTGTCTTTGCACGAAGCTGCGCTATGCCTCCAGGTCCCCAGTAGACTATGTCTCCGGATGATGAGCCTAGAGCCATGCTGCGCCAGGGCTGTGAATGAGGAACGATCAAAACGATTCTTGTATCTCTTGTGGTCCTTTTGCGGCAATGTAGCTGGGATGCCCGCTGTGCATTCGGACCTTGCGTTGCTTCACCTTGAGCCGCGAGGGCCTGAGCCTGAAAACATCTCGACTGCAAGACCTTGAGCACTGTGTATGTAGTCAACGAGCAGGTGTTTAGTATGTATTTCGAGTACAGAAAGTAGATGGTGAGAGAAAGGGAAAGTCGAGATGCGAGATCCAAGAAGGATATCTCCACAGCGCGCCAAGAGGTCATCTCGGCAACAACCGCCGGTCACTCTCCGGCCATCTACACGACATCATCCATCTCGTGTCGACATTCGTACTGCATTGCTGTAAATACCGCTCCCAGTATGCCTGAAGATCGCAGATAAAGTGACCTTCCAGAGGTGTCTAGCCTAGAAGCCGCCTGGCACCGCGCCATTCATTCAGCTCCCCGAGTCGCTTAGCTTGCAACGAGAACGCCTTAACACCCACATTCTTTGCGGTCGAAGAGGCTTCTGGAAGTATTAGTCCGCCTCGGACTGCACGTAACGATCATAACGCAGAATCCGATGCCGGAAGAGGAGTTCTCACGGGGATGAACAACATGCTTTGAGCTCCCGATACGCATGTTGTCTTGGGCAAAGAGTTAGGAGAACCGAGAACCCTCTGGAACAAGAACATTGCTGGGAAAGAGATGCAGTGTCTTCGGGTAAAACCAGTGACCTCTTGAGCGTGCTACCGCTGTCCCTCTCAGTGACTACCACGAGTTCAGCGTTCACTTTGACCTCTTCCACCTCGCTGCGACCAGCTACAAAATGCTCAGCCTGACCTGATACTTAGAAGGGGCACTGTGCAAATGACCCAAAGACAAAACTTTGGCCATGCGATTGAAGGGCACTTCTTGGGCCACCGCATCAAGCTGTGAAAGAGGGTGCAATTTTGTGGAACTGGATGACACGAATAGTCCTCTTCAGGCCTCGGCATTGCTAGGGTCGAGAGCTCGAACAATCCGATGATGGAGAGGTTCCGAAAGGGATGTTGTTAAGACCGACCCGAGCAACAGTGGTGACATATGCTATGGTGATATGGCCGCGAGTTCGCATAGAATGCGCGAACTGCGTAACCCCGCGCTGTCCCAATTCAACCTTTTAGACTGCCAATTGTACATGCGCTGTTCCAAAATACCCGCTCCATCTGCTGACTCGATTTGGCTGCATTGCATTCGATAGAAGGTGGCGACTTGCTTCAAGACAATCGTAAAATAGAGTTTCTGTAATACCAAGCATGCGTCTCGGCGCGGATTGCCTCCGAAGCGTCAAACAGGGCAGCTGCCTAATGACCACCGCACGTTGTCCTTCCCTCCTTCACGGTCACATCCCCCGAGACTTTGTGTACAACATTCTCGAAATCTCCCGGTAAGACAGTCTGAGGTTTGCTCCAATACCCTACAACAAATGTCACGCGTTCAACTCCGCTCTCTTGAGCCACGTCCCTGATATCGCCATCCTCGCATGCCGCCGACACCGCCAAGAAGCTCGCCTCGAAGGCCTTTCAGAAAGGCACCACGCATGTTCTGTGTGGAAGTCTTGTCGATTGCAGATTACGAGCTGGCGAGGGCGAAAGAGATGGACGCCCTCATGGACTCAGCCGTGGATCAACTTGAGACATTGTCTCGGTCCGGCAATGCACTACCGAAAATGACCGACTTAACCATTCGATTTGGACATCTCGGCCTGGCGGCAGACAATGAGCCACGTCAATTCGAATTCCATCTGCCAACGACTTGTGCAACTTGGCCTGGGCCACATTTCGGTGCCAAATCGCTTCACAAAGTCATTGCCAAGCCGCCGAAGACCGCACCCAAGCCTGCGAAGCAGTATTGTTGGCCAAGGGTAGCCAGGAAGCGCGCTGCGCCCCTCAAATCGGCGAAGGCAAAGAAGGCAAAGAAGAGCAGTCCCGAGCCCAAAATCTTGACATCTGTCGCCTCTCGTGATCCACCGCTGCATCTACTCAGTCTACCTGCAGAAATTCGAAATGCATTCTGGACACTGCTTGCTGTGCGAAAGAATCCCATCGAAGCACAATTGCGGCATATTCGCACCGCAAAGACGCCTCAGAAGCCGCGAAGCCAAGTCGTACGGCGGTTTCCTCGCGAGCCAGTCGTGGCCGCTGTGAATAAGCAGCTGCGGCGGGAAGTCCTTTCAATCTTCTATGGCACTAACCAGTTTGTGATGGAGAAGAACGCGTGCGATTTGTACAAAAACCTGAGCATGACCCACCCGGGCTCCGTGCAGAAATGGAGCCCGAGGCCAGACCTGGCAAACTTCCTGTCGTCTGTTGACCTCCGCTATCATGTCATGCCACGGCCACTGCCATACGGCATGGGTTCTGTCGTTTACACATTGCGACGGCTGGCGGATGGACGGGTGACCATTGACGTCAAAGCGGAGTGGCCAGGTGGTGGGAAGAAGGGTCCAGAAGCCCTTGAAGCATGCTTGTGCAAGGAGATCGATACTGTCGGCGCAGTCCGGGATTCAATGCAAGGAAAAGACACGGATCTTGCGCAAGTGTCATTGGCAGTGATGAGGAAGCGGCTAGAGACAATCTTCGGAGATCCTTCGATCGAAAAGACCCCCAATCACCATCCGGGCGAGGTGACGTGCAGTCGGTGCAAGAAGGATACTTTTGAGATTGTGTACAGCGGGCTCTAATTGCGGCGATGGTACTGTCCTGGAGCAGTCTGATGGCATGATAGGACTTTTGTTGCATACATATGTAATTGCATGACTTGGCATGGTATAAGCGATGGCTGTGATCGATTGATAGAGGACCACAGACACCATTCAAAGAGATGATACGCGAATATTTTTACTTCCGGAGCTTCAGACCACTTCATTATATTTTCATATGAGTACTTGTACCCTTGTATAGCCCAGAGCACCTTTTTACAAGCTCCTATGAACAGGACAACGACAATCATGCCGAACGTTAGTAGCGGTTTCATGGAACATAGACCATTTACAGTAAGCAAAAGAGAATGAACCTTCGGAAGATAAGTGAACGGCCGGCTTTTGTAATTCGTGCCTTGTATGGGCCAAAAAGGTCGGGGCCTTGCCGGGATTCGACTATACGAAGAATTAGCTACGCACTTTTTTATCAATGCGTGGCAAGACACATACACCCGGGGCCTGTCACAAACGAGTAGACTGAGTCTACTAGGTAGAACCCGAAGCGACAATCATACCACTAGACCACAAGGCCATGGGAAAGAGGAGTCGCGAAACTCTCCCATTGGATAGCACGGCTTCAGAAAAGTATTGTACATGGCTGTAATATCTTGGCTCTCGGGCCCACATCCCGGCTGCATTACCTCTGCATATCGATTGTTTCGTGCCTCTTGAAGGATCTCTGGCTCAACGGAAGGCCGGAAGACCAAATATTGAGCAACTCTAGACCTGTCGCGTATATGCTTAGGACTGTATCATTGCTGTACTAGGATCCTATATTCGGCAGTATAGTAGAAGATCGTCTTAAGGAGAATTAGAGATGCACCGAGTACCTAAAGTTGAGTAGTCTAGCCCGGCAACTTGTGTTCGACTTCTGGAGATTTGTTGAAGTCAACGTTCTACGAGTGAAGAATCGTTTCACGGTTCGTTAGGAGACGGAGGCGTTTTGACTTCGTCGTCAAAATGGGGTCGACGCTCCACCTTCCTTCCGATGATGCCCAATATTCAATTCTACTCATCATCGTCAACGCAACATCAACATTCTTTATAACAGTCAGTCAATCAAGACCTCGTCATCATGGCACAATCAAATCCCTTCGACTATTTCGCGATCCAGAACACGATCTCGACATACTGCATCGCCCTTGACACCAAGGACTTCGCTCTCCTGAAGAAAGTCTTCACCGAAGATGTAGACACGAAATACCCTTTCGCCGAGATGAAGGGCGTGCAAACCGTGGCAGAGCGTATAGAAAAGAGGTATTGATCTCTCTTTCCCCATGCATGAAGTACTACTCGATATTGACGCTCCTCCTCCAAGACTGGCGGCGATCACATCCCAGCATGCTCTGACTACGCAAACAATCGAGGTGTCGGAAGATGGCAAGACTGCAAGAGCTACGACCTACTTCACTGGAATCCACTTCGGCAAGGGGATCTGGCAAGGCGAACAAGTGACTGCTTGGGGCAAATATGATGATGAGCTGGTAGTCACCGACGCGAAAGCGAGTGTGCCTGGTGCTTCCGGCCACTGGATGATTTGCAAGCGAAGTGTCACGTTCCAAGGCAGATTGGGAGAGGAAGCTGTCATGGATGGCGAGTAAGGCTGACAGCACGATTATTGTAGCATGCGGTACGTGGAATACCATGTGCTTGTTATGTGACCGGCTTTTGGTGGTCATCATTAATTAGGTCTTGGTAGTGAATGCCCAGCTTCCAGGTTTCTGGAAATAGGCACTATGCTTGCTGACATTCTTCACAGAGGCGCACGAATACTCAGCTGCTCGAGTCTATGTCCAAGATTTCCCCCGCTACTCGCCTCAGACACTACTTGAAAAATGCCTTGCACAACTTCTTGATATTTGAAGCCTATATCACTGACTTGAATGAAAGATCGTGCACGACATAACCACGACTGCCATTTGTTCTCGAAGCAATGCAGATCGGGAACATGGTAAGTCAGGATTCTGGCTAAAGAGCAATGCGAGAAGACAAGCATGACCTGGTACAAAGCGGAGCCCCAGGGTCCGTGCATGGGTTTGTTACATACCACTTTTGGTATCGCCAACGGAGGGGTTGTAGTCCGACGAAGATTCGGCAGATGCTCCACCGAAAGCATGCTTTGTTACATGACCTTACACAGATCCCACGTTGCGATCATGCCATTCGACCTCACCAGCACCACAGAGCCGCGAACATGGCAGACACCGACAAAACCAGCATGGACGAGAAGAAAGTCAACCAACAAGTTGAACAAATCGAGCTCATCGAGGATGCCAAGCATGCTTCTCAAGAAGAGCATGAAACGACCTTCTGGCAAGCCATAAAGAGCAATCGAAAAGCCGCCATGTGGTCTGCGATCATTTCCTTGACCATCATCATGGAAGGCTATGACATTGGTAGGGAGGACCAAAAACAAAACCCCTTCTCAAGTAGAGGGGCAAAAAACAAACCGAATCCAGAATCTGATCATTCATCGTCATCATCACAGGTCTGATCTACCAATTCTTCGCATACCCTTCCTTCGCCGAAACCTTTGGCAAGTGGAACGAGGCGACTCATTCCTACCAGATCTCTGGTCCATGGCAAGCAGGTCTGACGAATGGGGCCAACTGCGGCGTTGTCATTGGAGGTGAGACAGCATGGGCCGCCCAGATCTCTTTCGTTTTCAAATACTGATTTGCCGGTCTTCAAAAGGCTTCCTTAATGGCTACCTCTCGGCTCGATTTGGCTACAAGAAGGTCATTCTCGCCGCCTTGTTCTTCATGAACTGGTTCGTCTTCTTTCCGTTCTTCGCCAAGTCGGCGGAAGTTCTCCTCGTCGGACAGATTCTGTGCGGTCTGACTTGGGGCGTGTTTGCGACTACTGGACCGGCGTATGCTAGTGAGGTTTGTCCTTTGGCTTTGCGAGGATATTTGACTTGCTATGTCAATCTATGCTGGTGAGTCTCGATGATTGAAATGCAGCTCTTCTTCAGTGCTCCGCACACACTGACTTCGAAATCCTAGGTGCATCGGCCAACTCATTGCAGCTGGAATCTTGTATGGCTTGCTCGATCTGCACGGAGCCAGGAGCTATCGTATCGCCTATGCACTCCAATGGGCGTGGCCGATCCCGCTCTTTCTCCTCATTCTCTTCGGACCAGAGTCGCCTTGGTATCTGGTTCGAAATGATCGCATCGATGATGCCATGCACGCCTTGTCGAAACTCAACAATAAGGGCGAAGAATCGAACCGTCAGACCGTGGCTCAGATCATGCATACCCTCAAGATTGAGAACCAGATCGAGTCGGGAGCCACCTACTTCGACTGCTTCCGAGGCATTGATCTGAGGCGGACTGAAATTGTCTGCATGACCTTTGCCGGCCAGGTGCTTTCCGGATCAACCTTTGCTTATGGGTAATAAGTCCCTGACTTCTACGCAATTCTTGTCTTCCACTGACCATCTCCAGCCCGACATACTTCTTCCAACAGGCCGGTATTCCAACTCACAGCTCCTACGGCATCGCCGTCGGCGGCACCGGCGTAGCTTTCTGCGGCACAGTGTTCTCCTGGTTCCTGATCTCCAAATTCGGCCGCCGAACCCTCTACCTCAGCGGCATGATCTGCGACTGCCTGATCCTCATGATCCTCGGCACCCTCGCCTCCGCCTCCACCGCTTCCGGATCCAAATGGGCACAAGCCGCTCTCTGCTTAGTCTGGCTCTTCGTCTACTCATCCACCGTCGGACCCATCTGCTACACGATCATTTCGGAAACCTCCAGTCTACGCCTTCGAGCCAAGTCCGTCTGCTTGTCGAGGAATATCTACAATATCACGCAGATCGTTGCGAATGTCATCGAACCCTACCTCATCAACCCCACTGAAGCAAATCTTAAAGGCAAGACGGCTTGGTTTTGGTTTGGCACGGCTTTTTTGGCGGCTATTTGGACGTACTTTCGACTGCCGGAGTGTCGTGGAAGGACGTATGAGGAGTTGGATGTCATGTTTGCGCAGAAAGTTCCGGCGAGGAAGTTTGCGGGTTGGCAGGTTGATGCGTATGATAATGATATTGTTGATGAGTCGAAGGTTGTAGAGAAGAAGTGAGGTGGGTGGAAGGTGTGAGATTTGATATAGTAATAAGTCTGAAAGTTTTTGAAATTCTTCTTCTTCCTTCTTCTTCTTCTTTAAACATTAATAAAGCTACTCGTTGCTGTTGTCAAGTCTTAGAGGTAAGTTTGAAGCCTGTTTAATGCTTATATACTTCTTGAACACAAACTAGTAGTAGGCCCGTTACGTAGAATAGCGAAGCCTAAGAAGAATTTCGTCGGACACTACTATAGCGTTATAATATAACACTTATAAATCTCCCTTTATACGCCCGAGTGCTCTCGCAATACCTCGATTTAAGTTTAAACTCTTCTCTTCCCTAAAATAACAAAAAAACTAAAAATTCTTAAGATCTAGAAAACCTAAAATAGTTATAGAAAGAAAGTAGCGACCTCCTCCGAGTCGCTATAGCAAAACGAATAATAGATACTCCCTTATAATTCCTCCCGCTAATATCTCGTCTATTAATACTTATTCGGACGACGGAGTTATACACTAAAGTAAAGAGCACACTACTAATACAGTAGCATAGATAGATAGTATCTTACCTAGAATATAGAAAGAAGATAATAACTACTTCTAGATAGCAATTCTCCTTAGCGAAGATTTATAGGAATTTTAAATACTATAAGAGCTATTATATATAGTTCTAATATCGGCCTACGAGCGTCCTAGAGCTTTTTAGAGCAAAAATCGAGGGGGAGCGTCTAGATCGGCGTTAGTACTAGTATAGAGGTAACGAGGGTTGTAAGTAATTACGGCTTTAACGTTACTATAAAGAATCGTAATAGCGGAAGAAACTAATAAGTAGGCGTAGTGTTCAGTTCTATATCGAGGTGTATATAGATATTTAGACTCTCGATGTAGTAGTTAAGTTGGGTTTCTTGTCTTGTAGGAAGTGCTGCAATCTTTCTTTGAAAAGAAAAGAGGAGTCGATATGCTCCCAGCCAGATGCGAGACTAGTGTATCGTGATTGGCCTTGAATTTCAAGATTGCCAATGGAGTGGAAAGTGTGTAGAGCTCGAATTTGTTCACTGGGGTATCAACCTCGCTATGCTATATTTACATGGAGAACGCCTGCTGATGCTGTTTGCCCAATAAGATAGTGCCCTTGCGCCGCTATGCCCGTGAAGAGTTTCCGACGCCTAATGCGCAGAATGGTCAACCATTCTTGACGAGAAACCCATACCAAACGGCACTCGGAACAGCAACGAAAAGGGTGGTCCTGATAAACTCGTCGAGAGCTTTACGTGCACGGCTCTTTGGTTTCCGCTTTCCCTTTCCCTGGCTGTCGTCGTAGTCGCCAATATGCGACTCTTCATCAGACTCGTCGGGATCCTGCCACCTCATTTGTGGATAGAAGCCTGCCTTTTCGATCAAAGGTCGATTGTCCTGCTGCTGTAGATTTGGCATCGCATAGCTGTTGGCATGCGTGAACATGTTCGCCCCGGCTGGACTCACGCTTCTTGTGCGTGCATTGTAGCTTCGCTGAACGCTGAGGTGACTATCGGTTGTATTAGCGGTGAGGGTGGAGGTTGATGAAGCTCGGTGTCGTCCTTTCGCTTCGCCGTTCGCTTTGACCGGACTCACATAACCACTTGGATGTTCGTTCGCTTGCGATTTCTTGGAAGTGTATTTAGAAGATGACGGGCGACGCGAGAGCACATCCTCAAACGTGATTTCATCGTCTAGCACCGGCTTATTCCGCAGCCCGATCACAACAGCACGAACCAATAAGACAATTATCGTGAAGGCAAGCAGCCTTGCATAGTTGATGAATATGCTCAGCTGGTCCGGAAGGAGGCACAGTTGCGACTTGATCGTAGGCAGAGGCGTGCCGATCGTTTTGCCTTTTTCGTCAACAGGGTTCCATAGGCTGAGGAGCAGAAAACCAGGCTTGCGAACACCCATCGCCCAGCTGAAACTCTTTACGGTGATCTCGCGAACTGCACGCATCACGACACTCTCTTTTTGGCTGTTCTCGCTCCAGCGTCCGATGTTGAATCGGTGAGAAATGTCGCAGTAGTCGTGATCGTCACCTGAGAAGATGTGCTCAATGTCGCCGATTCTGGATACCTTCTTTGCGATCATGTTTGAGAGCGCTGGCGTGAGCGTGTTCTGGTATTGGTATCCGGCAGATAGTGGAATCGCTTTCCCACGTTCGCGCCATTTCCCACAATCCACGTCTGGGTTGCGAAAGAAGGGAATATGAGAGAGCAGAATGATGGGCAGCCGAGGCTTTTCGACCTTCTCCTTGGGTCGGTCATCCACCTTGTCTTTCGGGTCATGTACGGTATGATAATGTCCTCGGGATGGATATGTTCCTGGGTAGAAGTGATTCAAGGTATTCCGCACGGCTTTTGGCCCAGTCACCTCTAACGTGTCCAGGAACTCATCCGCGGGCTTCCAGATGTCGCGATACTGTTGTCGCCGCTCTTCAGTAACGCTGCCGCCCTGTACAAACTCGTCATACGCTGCAAGCGAAGGTGTGTCCAAGCTTACAAACGTGTGATTGCCGATGACATACACGCTGTTCGCCTCGCCAAACCGAGTTTCGAATCGATCCCGTACAGTGACTTGTACTTTTGCACCGATTCCAAGATCGTGATTTCCTGGCACATTCATTTTGACCGTTCGCGCCTTCGTGCCGCCGACGGCATAATGCTGTGTGGTTACGTTAGGGGCTCCGTTCTGCACGCTGACCGGGTCTGCCGGGACGTCCCACACAGGGAACAAAGCTCTCTCTGCGTGTGGATAGAGTTGATGATTGTGGCAGAAAATGCGACTGAACCGATCATACTCCGAATTCCACTGTCTCATCTTCCATTGGCTCCAGCGACCATTTTCGCCTGGCTTGTAGATGTTCAGATCGGTCTTGCCATCGCTGCCGATTCGCTCGCCCTCCTTCTTCGCTGGGTCCAGGATGGCTAGATTGATCAGATACTGGCGCTCAGTGCTATTCAAATTCCTCGCTCTTTCCGTAGCCCATTCCCGACCGCCATCGAACAAATCGCCAAGAAACACTATGCTGTCTGGGTCCAGCTTCTCGTTGATCAGGCGGAAGTTGCGACTCATGTACATGTCCGTGTATGATTCGGTCAAGCTACTCAGTGGCCACGGCCTGCCTGGATACGTATGCGGATCGACCAACTGCGGATCGGCGACAAAGACCAGGTGATGCGGCGCCGCATCGTGAGGCCATTCTTCCCACTTGTCCCAATGGCAGTCTGAGATGTGATCTTTGAACACTCCTCGCTCGCCCTTCCATATCACGTATAGCCATATCAGAGTCAAGAATGTGGTTGTTGAAGTGATTGAGACATATCGCAAGCATGGGTATCGCCGTGTCAGACGTCGTCGGCCGGGGGAGGAAAAGGCATGGCGGAAATGCATGCTCATGTGAGTTTTGGACGTGTGAGATGGTTGGCGAGCAACATGGCGAGCAACGGCGGCGTAGGTGGAAGGGCGGAAAGAATAATGATGGGCAGCAGGTGCTTATTCGGGGATGCATGCATCGCACCTGCGTCCGTCGATCTTTTCACGTGATGTGGAAGTCCCCAATCATGTGACTATAGCAGACTTGAACTATTCCGAGCAGCACGGCGTGACTGCACTGCACCATGCAGCATTCTGTGGCGTTGCCGTATTCAAGACGTACTAGCAGAATTCAACCCCTGGGCCCTTATGGCAACCACATGAGGCTGCACCAAGACATCTCGGAGTCACTGTAAGTCAATCGCTTGCGACAAAGACGATAACGTCGCTGATTGATCCACCCCGGCGCCAATTGGAAAGCCAGGACATAAGTGCATTCGATCGTGCAAAAGAAGCACGTGCAAACGCCATCATTCCTTTCGACTCACGACCAAAAGTGTGTCAGCGACATTGGACTCAGCTTCTTCTATCTTTTCCCACCTACCCAATGCTCCTACCCATCCTCCTCCACCCCAACCAACCCAACCTCAACATCCAACTCCCTCTTTCCCCCTTCCATCTTCCCACTCCCCTCCCAAACCTCCCTCTTCCCCTCCCCGACATAAAACTTCCCCCTCACACCCACCTCCCCATTCGCAAAACCCCCCTCCACACCCCTCACAGCACTAACACCCCCAGCCCTCAACGTATCACTCGTCACCTGAATCTCACAAGCCCGAAATTTCGAATCCGAATCTTCTGGTGCTGCGGGACCGGAGCATTGGGCTTGGAAACCGGGGTAGCGGGGGATGGAGTTTGCGAGGAGAGTGAAGGAGTAAGTGCAGGAATCGGCGGAGCAGGAGGTGGTGAGGGAGGAGATGTGCCAGGTTGTGGCGAGGGAGGGGAGGGGGAGGGAGAGGAATAATGTGAGGAGGGTGGGGAGATGGAGATGGAGGTGCATTTTTTTTGTGGTGGGAGAGGAGGATGGATGGATGGATGTAAGCGTGGTGGGTTATGTGCCGGGTGTTGGCGATTGATGAGATCATCGGCGAGCAAGCATGGTATATATAGCTCCGCAGTTTGCGTTGATTTGTTTGGGGGGAGATGATTGCGGATGAGAAGGCGGTGGCGCCGAAGGGTGTGACAAGAATGTGAGTGGTGAGAGTGAGTGGTGAGAGTGCAGTCAGTTCCGCGGTGTGTAGAGGTCGTGGGAGAGGTAGGTGAGGAGGATTCAGATGATTCCGAAGGTGGCAAGTTGCTGTGTTCATCCTTGCAGCACATTGACCAGGGGAGCTTCTCTGGTGAGCTTATATGTGCACGGCGCGAAGGAGATGCTTCGAAGGAGAGACATGTCAGCAGTTGCGTGGCAAAGGTCAATCATGGACTGGACCTGAACAAGTGGATATCTACTTACTCGCCCTCACGTGGCCTTTGCCTTGCCTTAGCCCTTGCGACGGCAGACTGCGCTCGTAGCGCGACGTGCTCGACTACAACGTCCTCCTCGTGCACGAAGCAACGTGTAGGCAGGACGTCTTCACCTTGCTGTGATTGATGCAAGCCTTCGATCACGCAGTGACATTGTTACGCCGCATCACCTCGCAATTGGCGCGAGAGGAGGCACTTCTAGACCACATCTTCACATGCTATTCAAATCTTGCCAGCTCTACTCTCATGCGCCATCAAGCATTCCAGTCTCCCTGAGCTGTCTCATGATCTCAGGCTCTACATACTTGCTCACAGTCACATCCTCGCTGAGACCCTTTCTCCTTCTTGTTTTGAGCACAAAATCTCGCGCCGTGGCTTGCGCGGAAGCCGGCTCGAGCGGTCTGAGCTTGATGGTCTTGTCCAGCGGATCACCTGGGACAATACTCCACCGATCGAATACCAGAGAGACAGTAGCCTGCCCTTGCGTGTGGATGCGCAGATCTGTCTCAAAACCAAATGAATCGATGACCGGTAGCAAGCCCTTCACGCTGTAGAGTGGTGTTCCTGGCACAGGTGCATCGCTTAGCACGTGGCCTCTCCTTCTCGCGAGCACCGTATACAGTGAGGAGACTGCGTTGGCCGGGCCAAGCATCGTGCACGAGTACAAAGGCTCCATCAGTCTTGGTCCAGCCATGAGGAAGGAGCTGTAGCATGCTCGTCGCGCCGTAGGGATGATTTGACCACCGCCACGGAAGATTGCTTCTGATGCTAGCTCGACATCCGTGATCTTGAACTTTACGTTCCTGATAGGCTCCTCACATAGAGGGCCTTCTCTTGTACCCCACGAGAAACCCTGTCGGATGGTGTCCTTGACTGAACGCAGCAGCTTCTGGTCAACGTCAGATGGCAGGGTATCGTTCTGAAGGATATTTGGTCCCATGTCGTCCGGACCAAATGCCCAGATATTGCGGGAAGCGAGAATATCGTAGCCGTAGTTCTCCTCAAAGAACTTTCCGACCTTTCGCACCGGATCCTTGATGCTGACCTTGCCGGTCTCTATGTCTTGTGCAATGCCGTCGTCGAGTGGCTCGGCCACAAAAGTGAGCTTGTTCTTTTTGTTTGGCGTCAGGGCATAGCACTTCATCGCGCTCTGGTCGACACACGTCTCGCAGAATCGTGTGACTGGATCTGAGACCTTGATCTCCATCTGTGCGTACATGCGTCGAAGGTCGTGAAGAACGCAGTCCATGTAAAGCTCGCCAGTCCCAAGGACCACATGCTCGCCCGATTCCTCGACTTTGGTCGTAATGAGTGGGTAGGACTTGTTGATCTTGCGTAAGCCGTCAAGCATTTTGGGCAATTCTGAAGGGTTGATGGGCTCCACCGCGACCTTGAATACACTGTCGAAGAAGTGGACAACCGGTTTGAAGATGTAAGCGTCCTCATCGTCCGGCAACTTCGGCGCGACAATGGTTGCGCTCTTCATGATCGAGTTGTCGACGCCACCAAGAAGCACAAAGTTACCCGCTGGAATGCCAGAAACCGGCACATTGTACCTGCTTTCGGCAATTGAGACCTGCTCTATCGTCGCAGTAACCATGTCTTCCTCGTCATCGATGCTGTAGTTCTCTCCAAGTACTCGGACCTGCTCTCCGGGTCTTGCGGTGCCACTCATTACCCGGCCAAAGCTGTGGAAGCCTTGGGCATCTTGGGTGTTGAACAGCTTTGTGACGTGCACAACCAGTGGTCCATCAGAGTCGCATTCCAACATGGCCGTCGCGGTCTTCGAGTCTAGTGGACCTGTGTAATACTTCTCGAGCTTCTGTCGACTGCTAGCAACAGGCGAAGGTACGTGCTCCACAACCATATCCACCAATCCAGCTGGTGGTCCAAAAAATTGCTCACATACCATCTTCAGCAGATTCTTAGCATTAGCTTTCAGCTGGCTTGGCTTCAGACTGATTCCAAGGCTCGCCAGAGTCTTCTTGAGATCTTCTGGCGATTCTGATAGGGTGTGAGAGTACAGCTTGTAGATTGGCTCCAAGACGAAATGCACGAAACTCCTCTTCCCTCGATCTTCCACTGGCTTTCGCGTGAATTTTCGAGATCTTGGGTTGTAGTAAATGTCGCCCCACAGTCGCTTGCTGAACTCCTTGATGTCAAATTCCGCGCTTGGATAGCTTTCCGCGTACATGGTTGCGAAACTGGGGAGTGTGAAGCACCACTCCATGCTGCTGCATGCGAAAGCCACGTTACCCTTCTCCGGGCTAACGCGGAACTTCTCGCCACGACCAGGAATTGTATTCTCGATGTGCGTATTGACCTCCTCCACGACATGCTTTAGCTTGAAGTAAGCGTCGGTCGGAGGCAACTTCAATTCGAGCATTAGTCGATCGACCTTGTTGATGAGCAGCGTGAGCGGAATGCCTGCAAGCACAGCGTGCTTGATAGCAAGCTCTGTCTGTGTCTGCACCCCCTCCACGACATCGACCACCAGCACAACACCGTCGACTAAGCGTAATGATGCTGCCACCTCGTCTGCAAAGTTCACATGTCCCGGGGTGTCGATGATATTCAGTAGGTGGCTTTTTCCCTTCGTACCCTGCAGAAGCAAACTCATTGGGCTGGCTTTCACTGACAGCCCTCGTTCTCGCTCCAGAAGATGTGTGTCTGTATACCGCATAGTCTCGTCGCGCGCTTTGCCGGTCTTGCCTTCCATGAAGTGGGACACATCGTGTGTTTGCGACACAAGCATATCCATGATACTCGTCTTGCCGTGGTGTAAATGCCCGCATAGCGCAATGTTCCGTATTTGTTCGGGAAAGCTCATCAGATCTGTGAGGAAGCCACGGTCAAAGTACACTGTAGGCAGATCCTCCTCTTCCACTGTGAACTTCTTGCGCTCGATCGGCGCCACAATCGGCTGCTGCAGTGTCTGCGTATCCTCTTCTTGGATGAGCGTTTCGACATCGGGTCCATAGACTTGTGATGCTGAAGGATAGTATTGCTTGTCTTCGTGTAGTACTACGGCATTCGAAGGGCCCTCGTCGTCTATGTCCATCACTTCAGCACCTGTCTGCGCCGCCTCTTCTCCATCTTCGTCCAGATATTGCGCGCCATCGTATGCGCCTGCGTCCTGCTCCTCTTCACTCTCTTCCGGCTCGCCGATGTAGTTTCCGAACTCATCGTAGAGGTCGTCCATGATGTCGGTAGTGGGGCTATACCGTTGTCAGGGTGAAGAACAAGCAGTCGCGGCCGGCGAATGGCAGACACGCGACTCAGGCGTAGCTTGCATCAAAAAGTTATCGAGAGCGAGGACTGCTTAGTCAGCGGGTCTCGGCAAGTCGGGCCGACTTTCACTCCGTCGAGGGGTGAACAATAGGTCCAATGTTTTTTGGCTGCCAAAGAAAGCCTCTCACACTTCTCAGCAGACGATACTCAAGATGGCTCCTCCAAAACCTGTGTATATCCTCTCGGCCGCCCGCACGCCAGTGGGCATGTTCCAGGGCTCTCTGGTGTCTCAATCTGCCATTGATCTCGGAACACACGCCATCAAGGCTGCGGTGGAGCGAGCGAATATCAAGCCCGAGGAAGTGCAGGAAGTCTTCTTTGGCAACGTCCTCTCCGCCAACCTGGGCCAGAACCCGGCACGACAATGTACAATCCATGCCGGTCTGCCCGAATCGACAGAAGCAACGACCATCAACAAGGTCTGCGCGTCCTCCATCAAGGCCATGTCGCTGGCTGCTGCCACAATCTTGACGGGTGAAGCCGATGTCATTGTGGCCGGTGGCACGGAGAGCATGTCCAATGCTCCCCACTACTTGCCAGTGCTCCGAGCGGGTGCCAAGTTCGGCAACCAGACACTGGTGGACGGCGTGCTCAAGGACGGCTTGACCGATGTTTACAAGGACGAGCACATGGGTCTTCAGGGGGAGGAATGTGCATCCGACCATGGCTTCGACCGCAAAGACCAAGACGACTATGCTATCCGAAGCTACAAAAAGGCAATTGCTGCCCAGGAGGCGGGTTACTTCAAGGAGGAGATTGCTCCTGTCACAATCAAAGGCACAAGAGGGAAGCCGGACACTACGGTTGAGAAGGACGATGAGCCTGGCAAGTTCAACGAGGACGCGACCCGGAACAAAGTCAAGCCAGCTTTCAAGAAGGACGGCACAGTGACTGCAGCCAATGCTTCACCGCTCTCCGATGGAGCTGCAGCTGTCGTTCTTGCCAGCGAGGAGTACGTCCAGAAGAATGGTCTCAAGCCTATCGCCAAGATTCTTGGTAAGACGCACTCTTCACGTGTCAATATTTCTGATATGCTAACGACATCCAGGCTGGGGCGATGCTGCCAAGAACCCTTCCAAATTCACTACCGCACCTGCTCTTGCTATCCCCAAGGCACTCAAGCACGCCGGTATCAAGCAGGAGGATGTCGACGCTTTCGAAATCAACGAGGCTTTCTCAGTTGTCGCTCTGGCCAACATGAAGCTTCTCGGCCTTTCAGAAGATAAAGTGAACCTCCACGGCGGAGCTGTTGCTCTTGGCCACCCCCTTGGTGCCTCTGGAGCACGAATCGTCACCACTCTCCTCGGTGTCCTCCGCGAAACGAAGGGCAAGATTGGCTGTGCTGGCATCTGCAACGGTGGTGGTGGTGCCTCTGCAATTGTCATTGAGAGACTGTAGGCTCGCGCTGATGACCTCGCCTTTTTCGGGGAGGATTATTGCAGCATACCATAGATTCATCTTAAGCTGGCCATATACGGACTCCAAAAGCATTACAAAGGATACCCATAGAGCGATGAAAAAGGACTTTTGCTTCAATTTAGATTCCAGCTCTCCGACCTATTGTCTTCTCGGACTCCTCCCAGACGCCTAGTCGCCTAGTCCATTGCGCACACCGTCTCGGGGATGGACTGTTCTGTACTGAACAGATTCCCGTGGAATATGTGCACACACAGGGGACTCGTTCATACCATGAACTGTGACCTCATCAACAGCTCCCAGCTATATAAATCCATTGTCCAAATTCCAGAAGTTTGTTGCCATGGAGAAGTGATCTCTCGGTATGGACACACCCTCTTACTTTCAGTGCCACTGAGCATCGAGATCCAGAAGACCATGACCTAGCCATCTTCGTAATCGTTGCCTCGATCTGCTGGAATCTCCGTCCGGACCTACACTTCCTTGCCTACTTCGAACCCCGAGGTCGTTGTACCGATTTACCTTCTTGGTGAGGATTATTTGGGGGGCAAGCTATATGCCCAATGCCTTTTCGACCGTCTGCCTGGATAGAGACTACACAGTAAACATTTAGTTCTACTGGAGCCGTACTGATACGAGTACTGTACCTCGCACGGGTATTCTGGGATTGGGTCATGAGAGCCACGTGCGGCAGAGAGGAAGAACTGCTCGTTTGCCTTCGGTGTGAACTCTGATTGGAGGAATAATGTTGGGGGTCATCCTTGGCAGCATGGCAGCATGGTTGTTCTAATAATAATGCACCCCATGTGGAGGGGACTCGCGGGGGATTGTGACACCACCCTCGGAATGGCTGTCCCGCCTAAATTGACCAAGCAGGCTTGACTCCAACAAGACTTCTACGCCTGTAGCCCGCCCGCTCCTCGGTTTGCGGCAGAACCGCTCAATCTGAGTAAGACAAGAACAAGCCTGCCTTGTGATGGTGCACTACAGCACGCTCTTGCACGCTCGCATCGCACCACCAACCTAGTAGACAGCATGTCTTGAACCAGAAATCCGCCCCGTTTCCGCTCGGTGCAGCTCTCGACCGGCCAAGCTGCCAAGTCCAGACAGTTCTTCCGACCACCCCGTCTCCCATTATTGTTTGAGATAAAGGCAAGGTCAGCTGTCAGATCTGTACTTCTAGCCTCCCCCAGCTCCAGCTCCAAACATCCCACCACCCCACAAAGAGGCGAGAGTCTCTTGTTATCCTCAAAATGGGCATCATCGAGAGGATCGTCCGGAATGAGGCTGTCAAGAATGACCCCAAGGAGATCTACAATTGGAGAGTGTTCGTGGTCTGCGTGAGTCGCACGAAAACGAAAAACTTCACGACCAAAGCTGACGCAACGCCGAATCAAAGGCATCAGCATGTTTCGGCGGGATGCTTTTCGGTATGGATACGGGCATCATCGGTGGCGTCCTAAAACTCGATCCTTTCCGAGCGAAATACAACCTCCCTAAGGCCAGCCAGAACAAAACCCTTTCCGCAAATCTGGAAGCCAACATCGTGTCGACGCTCCAAGCAGGATGTTTCGTCGGTGCGCTCGTAGCCGGATATATTGCCGATAAGCTTGGTCGTAGAATGGGTCTAATGATTGCGGCTGTATTCGCGATTATTGGCTCTGTCATGCAAGCTTCTGCGGAAGGCCACTTTCCCGTCATGTATATTGGGAGATTCATTGCGGGAATTGGGGTTGGAGCTGCTTCGATGATTACGCCTCTTTATACTTCGGAGAATGCGCCCAGGGCTATTCGAGGAGCGCTTACCGGCATGTACCAGTTCTTTATTGTTACTGGTATTTGCATCGCATTCTGGATCAATGTAAGCTTGATCATTAACTCTACTCTCCCTGCTATGCTTGACTGACTATCTTCCCCAGTACGGCATGCTTCTGCACTCCCATGGCACAGTCCAATACGTCGTCCCGCTCGCCCTCCAAGCACTTCCAGCCATCATTCTCCTCTTCGCTATGTTCATTGGCAAGGAGACTCCTCGTTGGCTTGCAAAGCAAGACCGCTGGGACGAAGCCGCCACAATCCTCTCCCGAGTCCGCAACCTCCCTCAATCCCACCCATACGTCCAAGATGAGCTCCAAGACATGTCCGCCCAGCTCGAATACGAACGCCGCCTGATCGCGGGCTCAAGTCTCAAGGATCTTCTCAAGGAGATGGTTACCATCCCTGGCAACAGGAAGCGAGCATTGATTACTGTCGGTTTGATGATTTGCCAACAGATGACAGTAAGGAGGCACGACCTCGCCTGAGACAGCTGCTGACTCCTAACAGGGAACGAATGCGATCAACTATTACGCTCCTCAAATCTTCACGAACTTGGGCTTGACAGGCACCGCACCATCTCTCTTCGCAACCGGCGTCTATGGCGTCCTGAAGATGGTCGGCTGCGCACTTTTCCTCGCCCTAGCCGCAGATTCCCTTGGTCGCCGACGAAGTCTGCTGTGGACTTCGATTGCCCAGGGCACTTGCATGTACTACATTGGCATCTACATTCGCATTGACCCGCCCAGAGCTGGAGCTGACGTGCCACCCGCCGGATATGCGGCTATTGTGGCAATCTACCTCTTCGCAGTTTTCTTCCAATTCGGATGGGGTGAGTCCAATCCAAGCAGAAATTCTAGAATTCTTCACTGACCCATTTTCCCTTTTCTAGGACCGGTATGCTGGATCTACGTCAGTGAAATCCCGACCGCACGACTCCGGGCCCTGAACGTCTCCCTCGGTGCAGCGACGCAATGGCTCTTCAACTTCGTCGTTGCAAGAGCCACGCCGAACATGATCGCTACCGTCGGCAGAGGAGGATATGGAGCATATTTCATCTACGGTAACCCAACATCTTTCTCCTCCCCAAATACAAGACACATTCTAACCCAACCCGAATTCAGGCTCATTTTGCTTCTGCATGTTCATCTTCACCTGGTTCCTAATCCCAGAAACCAAAGGCATCTCGCTCGAGAAAATGGATGAGCTCTTCGGTGCCGTGCCAGACGGCAAGATGATAGATGAGGAAGGTAGTGCTCGCAATTATGCGGATCCGGCTCCGACGGCCGAGAAGGGAGGAGGCAATGTTGAGATTCAGCAGGTGGAGAAACGCCAGAATGATAATCAGGCTGAGAGCAGAGGTATCCCTTTGATTGACTCGTTGGCTGTTGGGGTGAATCGGCAAAGCTAGGATTTTAATCTACTTCGTATGCAAAATTCTGTCATCAGTGCGTACTTGGATTATGCAAAGCGGATCTCACTCAATTCTTATACTGTATAACAGTTCGTCGGACTTCACCCAGAAGGCGGTTAGGGGAATTCATCAGTGGTAACCATCGCCAAGTTTTCTTGTTGCACCGTTTCTCTTTCGATGCTGAATGATTCCCCACATTTGTTCCCACAGGATTCATGCACCTGCCTACCTTCTCCCCATTACATGAAGCCGAGGAGCATCCAATCACAGCCTGTAACGTTAAGCTCACTCGTACAAAACTGGTAAGTACACTAGTCGACACGCTAAATTGCGGTATAGATGAACTGTCAAGCGAGCATTCAATCCAACCCTCCTTCACATGCCACGAGCACAAGATCTGTCCGTCGTATATCGGACTTGTATCCAGAGCTGGTCGAGCACTATACAAAGCACGGAAAACACTTTCGAAGCCTTCACTGCTGGCGAGAAACTCGATGTGAATACAAATATACCAGAGCAGGAGCAACCAAGTACAATGCCACCACCGCAACCTCCATCTATATCATAGAAAATGCTCCTCCCAACCCTCCTCCTCCTCTCCCCCACCACATCAACCCCCCTCCGTTTCTGGGTGGGAAGGAGTTGGCGGGTGAAGGGGGACGAATTTGGGGTTGAGGGATCAGAGGTTGGGGTTGCAGTGGGTTGCGGAGAATACTGCGGCTTTTGGAGGTGAGGTTTTGTTGGGAATTGTTTGGAGGGTAATAGGATGCTAACTTTTTTTTTTGGCATTTTAGGGGATCCGGATAAAGTTACGATTTGGGGGGAGAGTTGCTGGCGCGATTTCTGTTATGGATCATACGATTATCAATGGTGGAGATCATACTCATAACGGCAAGCCATTTTTTAGAGCGGCGATTACGAATAGTGGAAGTGTGATTCCAGCTGAAGATGTGTCGACTGCGAAAGCTCAAGCGGTATGTGTTGTTCCAAGCCTAAAAGTCTGAGCGTTGAGCTGACTATGCTGTTCTGCAGATCTACGACAAAGTGGTGGCAAGCAGCAGCTGTGCCGGAAGTTCGGACTCTCTGACTTGTCTTCGAGGCCTGTCGTATGCGGATTTCTTGCGAGCAGTGTCTTCAGTTCCAGGCATCTTCTCATATCGATCATTAGATCTTTCGTATTTGCCTCGCCCGGATCCAGGTGGCAACTTCTTCTCTCAATCGCCCGAAGTTTCCATCGCCAACGGTGCGTACGCCAAGGCTCCAGTCATTATCGGTGACCAGGAAGATTGAGGGAACGCTCTTCGCACTCTTTCAAAGCAATATAACTACGAACGAAGAGCTCTTCTGCTTTTGGGGTTTGATTTTGGCTCGCTGCGGCTATAGCTGTTCTGTTAGCTAGTAATTAATACACATGATCCTTTCTACCCAGCTGCGCCGGCTCCAAACACTTCTTGGTTCTCTTCCGTATCATATGTTCTGCACTTGCCGCCTTTTATGGACTTGCCCGCACCACTACACTGCCGCGGTACCCCTTTCTCCGCCATCAAGTCGACGCGTTCGGGTCGTTGTGCTGAGGTTTTGCTGACTTCGGGGTTGGCAGGAGATACGTCGAGAGGGTTGCCCTTCTTGCCGGTCAATCTCAAGTTCTGGCAGATTCATTCACTCACTGTCACCTTTGCACTCCGCTCAGCTGCTTGGTCTAATTGTGCCTCTGGCGATGTATGCTTGGCCCCAAAGGCAGTTTCGACATCCTGTGCGACCTGGTCGTCTGATCCCGTCTTGCTGTACTCGTTTGTTTCTCTCACGATATCATCCTTCTTTTCGACGTCTTGTGACTCCTTCCACGCCGAGATATGATCTTGGGCATGCGTGGGCGTTGCGAAGGATAGTGTTCGTGTTGCTGTGAGGCCAGCCTGGGACCTGGCTGCGAAGCGTTGAGCTCTCCGGATAAGGAATGACATACTGGACAATTGGTATTAGAGAGCACACTGCATACTCACGGCGTCGTTAAATCAATTGGCTCGTTGTGTTTGACGTCACTACCTGAGTCTTGTGCCATGCCAACAAATCATCAACACGAAGTGGTAAGCTGAACCAGTCGTCCGTTCCTGGAAAACAACCATGCCAAGTCGGAGTGGACTCCGCACAGGAGCATTCCACTCCTTTTCACTTTCACCTCCTACTACCAACTTCTAAAATTTATGGTGGCGTCTATCCAGTTCTTTCACTCATCGTTGCCTCCCCTTTAGGAAGAAGTAAATCTGTAGGGCCTGTAATGACACCAAGGCTCGTGGTATGAGAAGCAGGCCGTTGTCTAATAACATTATACCTAGCACACTCGGTACATGATCCTCCAACATGCAGAAGATGAGATTCGACCTTACATTCGTGGACGCTAGACGGCGCCAAGATCATATCGCTGCAGTGGCATATATAGTATTTGCGTCTTCGGAAATCTACTTCCGTTCTTTTCAGCTCAGCGCGATCGTTTCAACTCAAAGTCATATCAATCGCCCCCTTTGAGAACTATGAAGGATCTTCTATCCCGCTGGCACAGCATCTACGAAAAGCATGTGAATGGATCGATCTAGCCCGGATTCTCGGTGCCGAGATTATTCAAGTGCCCGCTTCTTTCGATCATAATTCGTTGTCGGTCAGTGATGACCAGATCATCGAAGAGCTCCGTCACCTCGCGGATGCTGGGTTACCAGGAGAAGGCACCGATGAAGCGACAGTTACCATGGCCTACGATCCCATGTCATGGAGCGTAAGAAGCAACGCATGGCAGCACGCTCTCGACCTGAAGCATCGGGTTTCAAGACCAAACTTCAAACTTTGCCTGGACACTTATCATATCCTGAGCAAGCTCTGGGCACATTGTACTATGCCTAATGGGAGAATCCCCGGGGCGACGAAGCGCTCCAAGTGAGTCTCTATGAAACTCTGCGCCTCATGCAGCCTGAGGACGTGGCTTTTGTGCAACTGAGCGATGCTGAGCGCATGGACCCTCCCGTTCCTCATCAAGAACTCAGATCAATGGGAAAGCACTATGCGTGGCATTGGTCGGGCGTGGGGAGGATATTTCCTCTAGAAGCGGAGTGTGGTGCATACCTGCCCATGCTCGACATCGTGCGGACTTGGCTCGTAGATCTTGGATGGTCGGGATGGGTCAGTATGGAAATTTCCCACCACTCGATGGATGAAGAAGAGCGAGGGCCGCGGTATTGGGCAGAACGAGGCATGAAATCTTGGGAGAGACTGCAGAAAGCTTTGACAAGTTCCGAACCGACTAACTAGGTCCGGTCTATGAAAAGCGGAAGAGCACACCGCTATATCTCGTCCTTGACCCAAGTATCGAACCATCTCACCGCTTGGAAGTAAGCACTTTCCTGCGCAAAAGCCTTCTTCTTATCCGTCAAATTCGTCCTCACAGCAAATCCATGCTCGGCATCCGCATACAACGACGTCTGATACGTCTTATTCTCACTCCGAAAAATCGACTCAATCTTACTCCTATTCTCAGCCGTATTCGCATCATCAAGCGCTCCGAACGCAATACTAATCGGACCCGCCACCGCCCCCCACTCCTCCTCCGTAGTAGCAGAAGGATGCGCCGTGAAACCCGCATCAAGCCCACGCCCCTCCGCCAAAAATCTCGCAACATATTTCCCCCCGAAACAGTACCCCGTGCCCGCAACCCTCGAGATTTTGAAATCTTTCCGAACCGTGTTGATCGCCGACTCGATGATTCCTTCGATTTGCGATTGCGGATGTCGAGATCTCCAGGCCGTGAGGTCAAAGGTGGAGTTCGGATCGGACAGGGCTTCTGCTGGGACGGCGTCCCCACGGAAGAGATCTGGCATGACGACGAGGTATCCGGACTGGGCGAGACGATCTGCCAATCTAAAAGATCCATCAGCATTATTTCCACCCATGATGAGGTGACGGAACTCACAGTCTATTGTTTAGCAACCCGTTCCCGAAAATATCCGTCAAGTATAGAATCGCCGCATCCTGCATCTGATCGTGCTCGCGACGCCCTGTGATATACAGACTCTCTCCCCCGAATTTTTCCGTCGTGCCGGTAGAATTCTCGAAATGCGGAACTCCTTCCTCGCATCTATGATTTCCGTGCGGTTTCAGGAAGAGGTCGCCTAAGTGCTCGTGCTTCAGGTCTGGTTCTCCATGTGCTAGTGCTAGAGTTGCTCCTGCGAGTAGAAGTGCTGATATCGTTTTCATCGTGGAGGGAGAGAGGTGTAGGTGAAGACGGGGTTAAGCCCGTGGCAGTCGATGCTGGCGGCATCATATAAACTGCGCGGCACGCAGATGGTCAATGCAAGGTCATTGACGCGAGCCAAGTCGTCGCTTGTGGTGGTATGCAGGTGTTTCTCTAGCGGAATGCCAAGAGAGGCTAGGAATGCCGTTGGCTGCCGAGTGCCAATGTTTTGGTGGTGGTGAGACATTGTCACTCACTTCTATTCTGTTAAGGTCTTTTGTTGTTCTGGTCTATCGTCGTCCTTTCCAACCTCGGATGCCCTCAATGCTATTCTATGGCCGTTTCGATGAATCCTCGCTCTCCGTTGATGATGCGGGTTGAATTGAAGGCGTTCCCGGACGCGTTTCAATCAAAACACTGGTATTGAATCACCCCAGGGTGAGAAGGCTGCAGCCCAATCTGTCCAGCCTCCACGGAAATGCAGTCCCCCGCCCCGGAAGCCATCTTCTTGCGCTCATCCGTCGGCTCTCGGACTCTCCCTTGTTGGCTCTTGACCGCACATCGAATTCATTCACGATGCCTTCTCGAACCGCCGCATGAAGCCCGCTCTAGCCTCGTTGTTCAGCACACCTCCTAGGCCATACGCAGGGACCATTCGGCACGCTCTTGCCAGAGACGAGGACAACCATAAGCTCCTGATGACACTCATTCGTTCCCGGAGCGAGAGCTTTGCAGGCCGGTTGTAGAGATCGAGACCCAGGAGGTGCAGCGGAGTGGCAATGAACTGGCTGGCAGCAGGACAAACGAGCTGTGCAGCGGTCAATCTACTCATGTGCTGTTCTAGCCCTTCAGGGAGTCGATCGGAGAGTAGAGCTGGAGCATTGAAAGTGAAGAACAGAGTGATCCCGTCTCGAATTACAAGAGGGATGAAGCTGGTCGGCGGAAGGGGGCGTAGTGTTCCTGTTGAAGCTGGACCGAAAGTTTGGGCGAAGCAGTTGTCCTTGTACAATGCCAGGCCGAGATTGACACTGGTAACGGCGCAGAATTTGGTGGTGCTGCTGGTGGTGGTGCTCGGTGGGAGATCATGTTTGTACGATGTGATTGTATCTGTCGTGTTCGCCACGAGATAGGTGCCACTGTAAAGAGCCAGCATCACGGCAAGTGGCCGACTCACGAAGAAGTTCCTGGGATTCAGGAGCATGTCCTTCAGAGCACTTCGCGCACAATCCAATACGGGTCTCCGACTTGCCGCAGCATCGACAACTGCCCTGTACGTCTTGTCAGGCCTGATCAAGACTGCCAAGTGTCAATATACTTGCCTGTCAATCACCGTCATTACAGGCGCAACTGCCAGCGACGCAATTGCTGCTGATCCGGCATCAAATACCAGCCTGCCTGCCAACTGCTTGTTGGAGTCCGGGTGCACGACTCCAGGCTTGCCATCGCCTTCAGCCCAAGCAGATGCCATCCGACCATCCATCCCGAGGATCGTCACAGAGGACCACCAAGCAAGTGCGTGCTATGCTGGTGAACCGACAGTCTCATCTGTCGGACTTCGGTGCATTTTGGAAAGGACTGGCTACCCAAATTAGGCATACAAAAGCCGCGAGCATGCGCACAACATGATCCACGGGAGCTCGAATCTTTTGACGTTGGTCTGCGATATTCCGAGCTGTAGCTGTTGCCAAGAGATACGTATGCTCGGAACATATTGTAAAGCACGCTACGGCTATGCAAGCCGATGCCAGGTGACTGCTCCATCGCAAGGCTGCCTCTTTCGGCAATCTCAGCGTGCGACCCAGGAAATGGTCTGGCCAAGACATGGGTGACTCGGCATATTGGACCTTGTATATGGTCACAATAAGATCGATCTGATGGCAAGATACACACGGCATGTTATGAATGTTCATTCATCCATTCATTCATTCCAGTCATAAAGCTCCAAAGAAAAATCACGACCGACCCATCAATCTCCCAAACACCCTCCTCTTCAACTCCCCATAATACTCAAACATCCCATCCCGCATCCTATCCGCGCCACCCTGATTCTCCACAAGCCTCCGAAGCAAATACTGCATACACTCCTGAATCGACCCCCAAGTCAAACACCTATACACCCTCGGCACAACAACACCACCACCACCACCACCACCACCACCACTATCCCCCTCAGCCTTCCTCTTCTCTTCGAGCTCCTCACACCTCTGCAAAATCTTACACCCCAGCTCATCAGCCATCCCCTGCAACTGCCCAAAATCCGGCACGACTTTCAGCTCGCCTTTTCCCGAAAGTTGTTGGATCAGATTCCAGGCCCGAGAGACACTTTCCGGATTATGGCCTGCGAGGAACAGCTGCACGGACGGGAAATTTTCCGGGTGGAAGCCCAGATTCGTGCCGGAGAGGAGGTCACGGACGATGCTGTTGTACGAGTCATCGGTATCTTGCTTGGAGTCGTGGATCAAACTCCTCTGGTCGTGAGCGATGTAGGCGCCTCGGACGAGTTTGATGGCCAGCGTCCAACGTTCGCGATCGGCGAGAGAAAGCTGGGATTTTAATTTGGAGCGGGATTCCTTGAGGTATGCCTGGAGAGTATTGTAGACCAGCGCGTGACCATCTCGATTCCAGCGCCGCATCAAATCGATCGTCCAGCGATCGATGGCCGTCTGGACGGCCGATTGTTCCGAGTCGATCCAGATCCTGCAATTTCGCGCGCGAGCTTTCGCACAGATTTCGTCCATGGCGCCGACGAAAGATTCGGGCGCTGCGGAGTCTGCCAGTAAGGCTTTCACCGCTTCCGAACCGGCTCCTGTGAGTTTGATCCCGAGCCAGTCTCCACTACCCGCCATGTCAAGCGTCGCGAGATTTCCGTTCTTCCACATGTTCAGCCCGGCATCCTTAGTAGCTGCGCTCTCAGCTCCCGTCGCTCGAGCCTTGTTGGAAGAGTCAACGACCGTCTCCCTTCCGTAGCAAAGAATCACACCAGCATACCCCATTTTCCGAATCTGGTCTCGGGTCTTGAAGATTTCCTTCTGGTTGGTCCCGGCACAGAATTGGTCGTATACCAAGGGCTTGACGACCGCTCTCAGAACCGGGTTCGCATCTGGATTCAGGATTTTAGATCTGGAATTTGCGATCGTGTCGAGGATGGTGAAGCCCGCTTTGAACATGATCGGGGACGTGAACATGGTGCCGAGGAGAAGGTTTCGAAGGAGACTGAATGTCGGGAGTCGTTCGAGTCCCGAAGGTTTCGCGGCTTCGGCGGTCTTGGTTCTTGATACGGCGAAGTCATTGTGGACTTTCGCGTCCTGTGCACCCGCTGCATAGTGGGAATATGATCGAAGGACGAAATATCCGATCTGGTTTCTCGTGAAGGTGTGAGATTTCGACGCTTGTCGAAGACCAGTACAACGAATTGTAAAGGGGGTAGACATTGTGGGAGTGGAGAGTGAACGAGTCAAGTCTCGAAGAGTGAGCCCAGGTTTGTTTTCTCCTTTGATCAACCACATGCCCGGGCCCCAAGCTTCTCCCGTCGGTCTTGAAAGCCGACATGGTGGAGGTCAGACCTGTCGCCCATGGTATATCAATAGCTCTCGGCCAGGGTTACTTGAAGCACCTGACGTTCCCAAAGAGGCATGCAAATCCACGGGGCCTGATTTCAACCCAAGCAGCCGTGCAGCCGTGCGTAGCCGTTCTGCTCACGTGAACCAGGCTGAGATTCTAGAATACTGATACGACCGCACAAAATGTGCAGACATTGATTCGCAGATCCAACACATACGCGCACCAAAGATCTCGCTCCATGCGTAGACGATCCTCTCGGCATGACTCTATCTGTCTCCATTTCTCACGACGACCCATACGCCTATCCGAGCCAAACGGCCGAAATCATGAGTTCTACATTCGCACACATCGATAACCGACAATCAAACCTCATCCATTTCAATCCATCTACCAACACCAACCCAATGCATCGGCTATCACAATCCCAAATTACATATTACTAGGATACAAAACCTCCTCAAGCTTATTAAACTCCTCCTTCAACGTCCGCGGCGCCGTGAAACGCATCAGCAAATTCGAGCTCCCAGCCTTATCACAAGTCCCACTGGCGCGAGCACCACCGAAAGACTGTTGACCAATCACCGCGGCGGTGATTTTGCAATTGATGTAGAAATTTCCGGCCGAGTAGCGGAGCTTGTCTTCGGCGAGACGGATGGCGTGTTGGTTGTTCGAGAAGATGTTACCGGTCAGCGCGAAGCCGCCGCCGTGGTTGTCGATGAGGTCGAGAGTGGATTCGAAGTCGTGGTCGGGGTATATGTATGCGGTTAAGACGGGTCCGAAGAGTTCCTGGTTGAAGAGCCGGTGGTCTTTGTGTTTGGAAATGTAGATGGTCGGGTCGATGTAGTAGCCAACGCTGCCGTCGTACGTGCCGCCGATGACACGCTCGAGGGTATGGTCTTCATTCGCCTGGTCGATGGCGCGCACAATGCGATTGAACGCTTTCTGGTCAATCACCGGTCCGGTGAAAGATTGGTAGTCCTCTGGAGGACCGACTTTGACTCTTGCAAGCTCTTTCTTCATGTAGCCGAAGAACTCGTCGGCGCGGCTTTGCGGGACGTAAATTCGAGAGCAGGCGGAGCATTTCTGGCCTGCGTATTCGAACGAGGCGCGGACGGTGTGCTTGGCGGCTTCTTCGACATCGGCGGAGGGGTGAAGCAGGTGGAAGTTCTTGCCAGAAGTCTCTCCTGCCATGCGTGGGAAGTCGCGGTATTTGTTCTCGGCAAGGCCCTGTGCAGCCTGCACGTTGAGCTTGCGGAAGACGTCGGAAGAGCCGATGAAAGTGAGCGCGGAGAATGCAGGGTGGTCGAAGACGGTGTTGGTGATCTGCTCAGCATCACCGTTCACGAGCTGGACAACGCCTTCGGGCAGACCAGCCTCGAGCAAGATGTTGTGAATCAGATGGCTGATGTGGGCCGTCATTGGCGCCGGCTTCCACACCACGACATTTCCGAGGAGTGCGGGAGCGGAAACCAAGTTGCCACCGATTGCAGCAAAGTTGAATGGAGACACGGCGTAGACGAATCCTTCGAGAGGTCTCCAGTCTGTGCGTCCGTGATGTCCTGGTGAGTTGACAGTCGGTTGTTTGTCGTAGATCTCTTGAGCGAAGCCGACGTTGTATCGGAAGAAATCACAGAGCTCGGCAGCGGCATCGATTTCTGCTTGCCACGCATTCTTGCCTTGACCCAACATAGCAGCAGCGAGCAGCTGGAATCGATACTGGCCGGAGACCAGCTCGGCGGCACGCAGGAAGATCGAAGCTCGATCGGGGAAGGGCATTGCCTGCCATGTCTTCTTCGCCTCCAGTGCTCGGTCGATAGCCTGCTTGACCTCCGCGGGCGTTGCCGAGGCGTATTCTTGGAAGGTTGTGTTGTGCTCTGACGGCATTGCCATGCGTGTGAGGCTTTGGGAAGAGGTAATTGATGCATCTGGTCCTCCCAGTGCCGGCACTTGGAGAGGCAGCTTCGCCCGTAGTTCTTCGAGCGCTGCAGACAGCTTCTGTCGTTCGGGCGAAGAGGGGGCGAAATGAAGCTACGTGAGAGATCAGTAGATGGAGTTGCACTTGTGCAATTCCGCCAACTCACATTATGTTCGTTGAAAGGCTTCGGCACGCGGTATGTGCCCGAAGTCAGCGATCTCACGCCATTATTATTGAGAGCACTGATCCGCGTCTGCGGCACGACTCTGCTTTGGCGAAGCGCTGATGTCGCTGTCCCTAAGCGTACGGCGGCCATTGTGTGAAGGGGATGGCGAAGATGGCTGCGCACAAAAAATCCCACAGCTCGCCATGTACACATAGAACTAACACATAGCAAGCTTTATTCTGGTGACGGTAAGTACCTGGAAACCTCCTCGCCCGAACCAGTCGGTTTCCATCGCCGGTCATGCTGCAGGTCATGCGTAGCGCTCCAGCACGATTTAGGAAATTTGATGCATGCCATTCAAAGTCTAGTCAAGCAGACAGAATTCGGGAAAGACATCCGTAGCGTTCATCAACAGGTGGGGAAGCCGGTCGGCGGTCAACATTATTATTATTATTTTGGTACAGCAAAGCTGGCCGATGCGCTTGGCCGGTAAGATTTCCCGACATCACTCAATCCACAATCACCCGAATCGAGGCGAAGCGTCCGGTGCAGAATGTTGTCAAAAGCATAGGCTAGTATTCTATCTCAAGAAATCGACCGTCAACAACTTCAACGTCTCAACTCTGCCCAGCAAAAATGAATTCAAACGACTCGCCCATTGCAATTGTTGGCGGCGGCGCCTGGGGCCTGTCAACCGCCCAGCATTTGACGAATGCTGGTTACACCAACATTACAGTGTACGAGCGGGCCGAAAAAATCCCATCCCCTTACTCTGCAGCATGGGATATCAACAAGATTATCCGTGCGGAATATGAAGACCCATTCTACACAAACTTGACATTGGTGAGTCCGCCCACTTGCCTCAGCTTTGTTGGAATACTGACTGACCTTGATCTAGGAAGCGATCAAGCAATGGAAAACCCCGCTGTATGGCCCATACTTCCACCAAACCGGATACGTAGTCGCGGCCACTGGCAGAGCACCCGCGAAAGCAGTCAAGCATCTGGAAGAAGCCCTTTCCAACGTGGAAGACCACCCGGCCTTCAAATCTGGAATCCGGAGACTGGAGAGTCCCCAAGACTTCAAGGATTATACGTGGCAGTACACCGGTCCATTAAACGGATGGAAAGGTTACTACAACCGATTAGCGGGCTATGGTCATTCCGCCGATGCGCTCAAAGGCATTTGGGAACACTGCGCGAGAATCGGTGTCAAATTCGTGCTTGGCGAGAGCGCGGGAAAGGTCGAAAAATTGCTGTATTCTGGCTCACGGTGTGTTGGTCTTGAGACTGCCGATGGCAAGAAGCACAAGGCCGATCTGACCATATGTGCCTTGGGCGCACATGGCGCGGATCTGCTTCCTGGTCTGGGCAAATTTGTCAGTGCCCGCGCCTGGTCGGTTGCGCACGTTCAGCTGAATGAGGATGAAGCAAACTTCCTCCGAGGCATTCCAACTACCAATGTGCGAGATCTGGGGTTCTTCTTCGAGCCGGATCCAAAGACTAAGCTGTTCAAGCTATGTCCTTTGGGTGTTGGTTTCACAAATACGGGCTCTGATGGCGTCTCTCGGGCACCAAGAGAGCGTTTGCCTCCACCGCAAGATTTCATCCCTGCCGAAGATGAACAAAAGCTCAGACAGTTGCTGAGAGAAACATTTCCGTGGATGGCTGACCGGGCCTTCGTGGAGCAAAAGCTGTGCTGGTTTGCAGATACTGCGGATTCCGACTACTGTATCGACTTCGTTCCAGGCACCCAGAATTCAGTGGTTGCGCTATCGGGCGACTCGGGACATGGCTTCAAGATGATGCCAATCGTCGGCACGTGGGTGGCGCAGCTGCTTGGTGACGGCAAGCAGTCGGAGCAACGCTGGAAGTGGAAGTCGGTTGACCTCACGAAGCAGAATTGGGGCGAGAAGGTGAGTTGGCGTATTGGCAAGGGTGCAGAGCTGAGAGAACTAGTCAAGGCCAAGGAGAAGCTCATCCGGGCGAGGTTGTAATGTCGGCTGTTATGGTGCTTCTTAACATGACGAAGCCCTGGCTCTGCAAAGGACATTGTCTCTTGCAGAATCACCCACGAAGGCTGGTATCGCCAGTATCGAGTATGCTGCTGCCATCATGACGGCTCCGCGAGCGGGTATTCACGATGCGGCATGCTTGCTTCGTCCAAGGAGGCCATACCAGGAGCCCACCGCAGGCGAGAAGGCGCGAATAATGTGGACGATGGAGCCAATTGCGAGGCTAGAGGATCAGTATATGAGTTCGCTGAGGAGGAGTCGGCTGTAAAAGAGCACTAATCAATGGAAGACACCGAATCAACGTGTAGGTAGAAAGTAATACTGTGAGACGCGTCGGTCACGTCGGAGCAATCGGAGTGCCAAGACCTGCCAAGACTTGGTTGGTTCCGTCCTCTCCATACACTCCTTCTCCTTCTCTTCACGCCAATTCCTACACATACATGATTGTACAATGGTTGTCAGTCGCTCTCAGCAGAACTTTCGATCGGATCATGTGCAGATCATCCCGCCCACCCAATTCCTCGCATCGCTTCCACATATCTCGTTGAGCCTTACAATCGCAAATCTATGGCTCATGGAAGATGCCAGACGTACGCAAAGTCTCCAATGAATGGGGCGAGAATAGGACCATCGCGACAAGACCAGAAGGCGTCCTGGACGTGCACCGATTTCCGAGCGTGTACCGCGCAGCCTTACCCATACTCGGCTCATTGAACATGCTGAAGTATCATATGGCACATTTTCTTCGGCGCTCACGCTGCAGCCCAGGATGCCAGGATGAAAGACAAATACATTTCAAGAGATCTCTTCGCGAATGACCGATCCATTCCATTTACGCCGCTTGTTATGGAGATCGATGACTTCGGTTGATCGCAACAGAGTAAGTATCTGCGCTAAGTAGTCGATGCTTGTCGGTGAAGATCGCCTATCACGTAAGCTTTGCAAAGCGATGAGGAAGACTCTGTGCTTTTGAAAGGCTTCAAATACGCCACGGAGCGTTGTCTGGATGCTGTTCGCAGGGTCCCTTGGGAAGCTTATGCTAGTGTAGGTGCATGTGCCAGCCGGCTCCGTGGTGCCACCGCAGGCCGTCAAAGGAACTTTTCACAACATCTATTTCGATGGACTATGAGAAGCTATTGCGATGGACTGTGAGAACGTATCTCGATGGACTATGAGGACGCATCTGTCGCTACGGCTCTTCTCGGCTGGCTCGAGGCTTCTGGAGCCAAAACATTCAGACCGGCTGATTTGATATTTTAGCAGCCTCACGCATGGCACCACGTTTCATGCAGACATTTGTGGTGCCATGTACATGGCACAAACCCGGCTCGACGGCCTCGTGAGAGTCGAGATACGACTGACCGTACAGGGTAGTAACGCAATCGCAAGACAGAAAGTCAAACCATACATGGTTACCGCGAGAATATATGAGCAAAGCGCCGGTGCAATCGTCGATCAAGTCCGCAGCATCAGTGCTATTACTCGTTCACGTTGGCGATTCGTGTGGCAAAACCAGATCTTGGAGAGAAGAGCAATGCAACACTACAATGATTGGCCAAATGCTGGAGCAGTGAGATCCTCACCATTGTGTTTCAGGTTGCATACTCACCAGGCCAGTTCAACGCTTTGAAACCGCAAACGCAAAAGACTAAGCTCGAGGTCTCTGGCTACTTCCCGAACTATGTTGCAGGCACGCTGCACAGGGCAGGTCCTGGCGGCTACAGGATCCCACGAGCCGAGTGCCTCGATGGTGACTTTGCATGTGACCATGTGAGAATAATGATGCTCACTCACTCGCTCACTAAACCTGTGCTGACTGACTGACTGACTGCCGCCCCATAGTGGTTCGATGGCTTCTCATACGTCTATCGCTTTGAGCTTGTCCCAGGCAAAGATGTGTGCTCAGAAGTTCACTACTCGTCAAGATGTCTAGTGGATGGAGTGGTCGATACGGCCGCAAGGACCGGGCGTCTCGAAGGCCTCACGTTCGGCCAAAAGCGAGACTTGCACGACACATTCGACAAAAAGATGCAGCCACCGCCTGAGATGACATCCGCTTCGGACGCGAAGAACGTCAATCTTGGAGTTACGATACGAGAGCCAATGCTCTGCGAGATGCCTGACATCAAAGGCCAAAGGAAAGTTCTCGTCTTGACTACAGACGCCCGAATCAGGAAGGCAAGTACTACTGTATCCGATGAGCTCGTGTCGACTCGTTTGACTAACCAATATTTCGTTGAAGACATTCGATGCAGACACACTGGAGCCTCTTGGTGTCACTCGGCAAGTCAAAATGCATCCCGACCTCAAAGGTCAGCTGTCAGGCGCACACGCATGCCACGACCACAAAACTGGTGAGTGGTTCAACTACAATCTCGAGCTGGGTCCAAAAACAATCTATCGCGTCTTTCGCGCGAATCCGAACACTAGTAAAGTGGACATCCTGGCCGAAATCTCTGACCGAGAGCTACGGCCTGCTTACATCCATTCAATGTTGTTGACCGAGAATTTTGTAATCTTGTGCGTATTCTCATCTATCCTCAAAAACGGCGGCATGGACATGCTCTGGACGCGGAACATCATGGACTCTCTGGCCCCAATCGACTCAAGCAGCAAAGTCACCTGGCTTGTCGTGGATCGACACGGCGGAGGGCTCGTCAAGAAATTCACGAGCCCGGCTTTCTTCTCCTTCAACACCACCAACGCGTGGGAAGAGGCTAATAAAGACGGAACCGTCGACATCGTGTGCGAGCTCTTCGAGTTCAAAACCCATGACATCCTTCATCGATTCTACTACAAGAACCTCGTCTCGAATGAATCCAACACAGCCGCCTTCAACAAGGCCTTCAACAAGAACTCTCGCATTAGCAAGACTTCACAATTGGCTCGGTACAAGCTTCCTGACGTCCACTTGCCGGGTAGCCAGTCCGTTAACATGTCGTTCCAGGCAGCACCTTCTGGAGAAGCGACGCGAGTACTCTCGATGCCTGGCAGCGAAACTGGAGACCTTCAAATGTGCAACCCCAACTTCCTCCTCCGAAAACACCGCTACGTCTGGGCCGCGCAGGACTCCGGAAAGTCTTCGTTCATGGATGCCCTCGTCAAAACCGACACCCAAACGCAGGCTTCTGTTACGTGGTCCGTCGACAAACATACCCCGACCAAACCTTTCTTTGTACCAGCGCCGCATGCTCAGGCTGAGGATGAGGGCGCTGTCTTGTCCATCGTCTACAACGGTGTGACGGATACGAGCTATTTGCTTTGTCTTGATGCTGCTACGATGCAAGAGCTGGGCCGTGCGGAGGTCGGCGCTCCGGTGGGCATAGGCTTTGATGGGAAACATACGCCTGCTGCACGTTAATTTTTCTCCGATGCTGATTTCGAAATGTATCATCGATCGTGACTGCTGGCGAGCTAATACATATATATATAGAGCGAGCGCATAGAATCTCAAGTCCTTGACTTCAAGAAGCTGTCTTGAGAAGTAGTAGGAGAGTCTCTGTTAGTTAGGTTAGCCTGCAACGTCTCCGCACTGTCCTCCTGTCCGTTTATTTATCTACACAACCGCGAAACCTCCCAATCATGGACGCAGTACCATATAAGAGCGCTAATAATACATTAAATATCTTCTATATATATCCCCTCAACCTTCTAACTTCCTCGTAAAGCAAATCTATAAGAGGGGTTATATTAGTAGGTAGATAGGGTAGTAGTAAATTAGTATAGTATTCGATAGAGATCTAAAAGGAGAGGGAGGAAGGTAGGCAAGTTAGCCTAACGCTAAGCGCCAAGCCCTGCCTAAGGTACTAAGACCCTAGCTTTACTCGAGCCTAGTTATATACTAATTACGTATAACCTCTTTAGTCCTAATACACGCTTCCCTTCTAAAGGCCGCGCCCTCGTAGCCGGTCTATATTCTATCCTTAACCTCTATCGCTACTAACTTAGTAGGCTTAGTAAGCTTCTTAGTTCGCGCTAAATTAAATACGCAATTACCGATTATATAACTATATTAAACCTTACCTCTAATATAATATAATGTCTAACTCTAACTACGCTATCCTCGTATATAATAAAGTAATATATAACTACGAGAATTAAGGGCCTTCGACTAATTATAATACGAGCGCGTCCTCTCTACTATAATAGGTAGAAGTACGAGGTATTATAGCCCTACCTCCGTTCTAAGTAATATCGTACCGAGTTCTTTGCGTCTACTCTTAAAAAACCTAGAAATGTCCGCTTCTAAGGGTTGTTCTTATTATTACGAGGGATTGTTCTTATTATTATAAGGGCTATTATTTACTATCGTAGTTTCGCTAGCCCTAATTAGCTAGGTTTAGTAGCCTTTAAGTGTTAATCTTATCTTATCTTTTTAAAAACACGGTTCGTCCGGTTTCTATAAGTAAAGGCTATTATAAGTATAGTAGTTAAGGTTCGCTCCGCTTAAAGGGTCGGAAAGATCGAGGAGTAACTTATTGTCCGCAAAATCGACCCTAGCTAGCTTAGCTCTATAGTTTTTGCCCTTAGTTAGTCTATTAGTCGCTTAATCTTTTAAGCGGCTTAAAGTTTTAACTTAGCCTTAAAGTTTTAATTAACCCCTTAGTGCCTTAGGCTCGTAGTATAGGTAAGGTTATCTCTATAGGCGTAGCGATAATAGCAAGTAATATTAATAATAGCGGCGCTAGTCGTCTTAGCGCTAACTTTACCTTCTTCTAATTTCCTTCTTTAACTAATAACAACTTAGTAATACCGTTACTAATATAGCTATATCCTTCCTCTCTTAAATAGCAACACACTCCGTAATACTATTACTAATATAGCCGCGCCGGCCGCGCCGTCGTTATTATTATTATTACTATCCGCGCGTACTATCCCCGCCGACTGCCTAGGCCTTAAGATCTCGATAGAATAAGGGGGCGCTAAGAGAAGGGTCTTATAGAATGCGCTAATAAAGAGGTAGTTTCCTAAAAGAGTAGCAAATAGTTAACGCGTTATAGCGCGTTTGTTAGCACTCGGTGCGCGTTCGCTATAGTAGTATAGTCTTATTGTCCTAGTTTGCCGGCCTCTAATTAGTTAGTTAATAGCACCCTAGGGGTAGCATTGTCCTAGCCTTAGTAACATTACGAGCTTTTAGCCTTCTTCTTGTTCTTTACGCTAGTCTAATACTTATCTAACAACTCGGCTATATCCTCGAAGGAGTCTTTAGCTTCCTACGAGTCCTATTTAGGTAAATAGTATTGCTATCTTAATAGGTACTCCTTCTTGCCTTTTCTAGTCCGGTGCCGTAGGATACGTTCTATAGACTATAGCTCTTTACTATCCGCTAGTATGTCTTCGTATTTAGTAGGGGCTTTATCCCCCTCGCGTAGATAATATAGCTTTAGGAGGGATACGTAGAAGGTGTTATAGATAGTGTAATAAGGTAGAAGCTACAACTAATAGGCCTATACGGAAGAGCCCTTAACTTCTCGAATACGGAATAGGCTAATATATCTTAGTGCGAGCTTAGGTCTTGTTTTACTATTAGGTAATAGGTGTTTACGGATACGGAGGTTCTTAGTGCTTAGTATAACTATATCGCCTTGCTTAAAGGTTATTAGCGTATAGTATTTGTTATAGTAGGCCTTCTAATAGGCCTAGGCCTTTGCTAGTTTGTTAGCTATCTTAGCGTAAATTTCTCGCATCTTTTAAACCCTCTTAATAGCCGCTAGTGTTTTAGGGGTTAGTACTTAACGCGCTTCCCTTTCCTTACGCTCGGCCTCGAGCGAGGTAAATAGACCCTATAGCAACGCGGCGTTTTAACCTATTATAGCTATATATAGTAAAACCTTAGTTAATAAATGCACGCTATTATTATATACAAATTCGGCCGGTTGTAGGAGGTCGACCTATCTATTAGAGTCCTTATTAATGTAGCTTCGTAAGTATTGCTATAGCGTAGTATTCTGCCTTTCGGTCTACCTATCTGTTTGTAGATAGAATGCTATAGATAGGCGATGCTTAAGTCTTAGCTATAGGCAAATCTTACTCTAATAATAGGATATAAATATCGAGCCTCGGTTAGAGACTATCCCTTTAGGGGTCCCCTAATAGGTATAGAAGATATTGTTCTATAGCGCTTCTACTATATTAATAGCAGTCTAATCTTTCCGCGCCGGGATATATTAAGCGCCCTTAGTAAACCGGTCTATAACGACTAGGATAGCGTTAAAGATATCTTTGCTTCCTTTTCGCTTAGTAGGGGGAAGACCTATAATAAAATCTATTATAAGCTCTGTAAATAGCTTATAAGGGATTAGCAATAAGGACAACTCGCTAAAAGGCTAATGCTTTAGTGCCTTAATACGTTAATATACGGCATACGTGTTTACGTAGCCCTTTATATCCCGCTTACTATTTAGCTAGTAGTATATACGCGATAGTAGCTCGTGCGACCTCTCTATACTATAGTAACCGGCAAGCTTACTATTATAGTGTCGCTTAAGAAGTTCTTGTCTAATCGATTGTTTAGCGGGGACATAGTATCTGCCCTTAAACCTTAAGTAACCTTTATCGTCGATCGACTAATTACTCTTACTAGATCGAGTCTTTCGTCTACTTATAAGCTTATCGATACGTTTAGTAGCAAAGGCGTCCCTCTGCTAAGCCCGTAATAGCTTATCTATAAACGATTAACTATCTCTATTTATAAGGTTATTTAATAGCATCCTCGCTATTAAACGAGGTACGTATTATATATATCTAATAGTACTAGCAGCTAGATTAACTATAGCAGTGCTTTAATCGCTATTACTATATATAGCGATATCGACTAGGGAGTCGTTATAACTTCTCCTATTTGTGTCCTTAATACGTACTGTTAATATAGCAAGAGTATTAATATACTTCGAGCTGTTACGGAGTCTAGTAAGCCGCTTATCCTACGCTTACTTATTAATAATACGGGCTATAGCAATCTTATACTATAGAGTTAGAAACAATAAATTAATAGATTGCTAAGTCTCGCTATTATAATTAGGTCGCCTCGATAGGCTATTAGTAGGGTTACTTACGCCTAGCTAATATAATATATTAAAATCGAACCCGGCGAGGTAGACGGCCTATCTAGCCTATCGACCTACAACCCTAGTAACCTTAGTAATGCTACGGAGGTTGTTATAGTCTATATAGACCTAAATTGTATACTAAGCACTATTAAGATAGTAGCGCTAATACTTAAAGGCTTCTATAATTGCTAAGAGCTCTTACTCGTAGGTCTCGTAGCGACGCTCTATATCGATTATTTTTCGTAAAAAGAAGGCAATCGGGTACTAGTAATAGTTATTATCTAATTGCTATAATATAATAGCCGATATAGCAAACTATAAAGCGTTAGTCTTAATTTGGATTTGCTTACTTAGTACGAAATAGTGCAATAAGGGGACTTTAGTAAATCGTTTCTTTAGACCGTTAAAAGCGGCTTGTGTCTTGTTAGTCTATTTAAACTCTCTAGATAGATTGGCCTTAGTTTTAGTAAGCTTAGTTAGGGGCATTATATACCGTAAATAGCCCTTAATAAAGCGACGATAGAAATTAGCGAAGCCGAGGAATAACTAAAGTTCCTTAATACTAGTAGGTATTAGCTATTTAGTAATAGTTTTAATCCGATTAGGGTCAGCCTTTATACTATTAGTTAATATAAGGAAGCTAAGGAAGGGTACCTCTTTAGTAGCGAAGGTATATTTAGAGGGTTTGTAGTATAAGCTATAGGCCCGTAGGCGGTCGAGCACCTTACGTACGGCGGCCTAATGTTCCGTAATGTTAGGTAAGTATATATAGACTAGGATATCGTCTAGATAGACTACGTAGAGGTAGTCTAATAGGCCTAATAGGGCCCGATTAATATAGGACTAGAATATTGCAGAGGCATTAGCTAGGCTAAATAGTATAACTAAGTACTTAAAGTAGCTATAGCGAGTACGGAAGGCTATCTTCTATTTATCGCCCTTGCGAATACAAATGCGGTAATAGGCGTCCTTAATATCTAATATAGTATAGAAGTAGGCGCTAGAAAGGCGATCGAGGGTCTTATTAATAAGCGGAAGTAGACAGCGGTCTTTAATAGTAACAGCGTTAAGCCCTCTATAATTAATATATAAACGTAGGCTACTATCCTTCTTTAGCACGAATAGGATAGGTATACTAGTAGGGCTATTGCTATACTAAATCCGACTATTAGCTAGGTTCTTATCTAGGTACTTACGCAATATAGTAAGCTCTCGCTTACTAAGATTATAGAGGGGCCTAAAGGGGACCTCTTTGCCCTCTATAATATTAATCTTATAATCCGTCTCTTTAAATATAGGTAGTATCGATGCT